ATCGAACCCAGGGCCTCATGCATGTGAGGCAAGCATAGAGTGGCAGAGCCATTTAGCTACCCTCCCAGCCTGTTTTTTTTTTCCTATTTTGATCCTTTGCCTCCAGATATCATGTCCCTGAAGCGAATGCTGGAGAAACTTGGGGCTCCTAAGACCCACCTAGAACTAAAGAAATTAATTGGAGAGGTGTCTGGTGGCTGCGGGGAGACATTCAACTATCCTGACTTTCTCAGAATGATGTTGGGCAAGAGATCAGCCATCCTAAAAATGTAAGAGTCTGGTTCTAACCTCCTCTCTGTGTAACTGCTTTCTTCTCCATCCTCAGTCCTACCCTTGTCCATAGGTTAAACTGCCATGTATTACTTAGCATCCACTCTTTCATCTTTTTTTGGTCAGTCGTGGGGGCTTGAACTCTGGAGAGGGCACTGTCTCTCAGCTGTTCAGCTCAAAGCTAGAGCTCTACCACTTGAGCCACAGCTCCACTTCCGGTTTTCTTGTAGTTTATTGGAGATTAGAGTCTCATAGACTTTGCTGCCCAGGCTGGCTTTGAACTGTGATCCTGAGATCTCAGCCTCCTTAGTAGCTAGGATTAAAGACACCAGCGCCCAGCTTTTCTTTTTCTTTTTTTTTTTTCAGTCCTGGAGCTTGAACTCAGGGCCTAGGCACTGTCCCTGGGCTTCTTTTGCTCAAGGCTAGCACTCTACCACTTGAGCCACAGCACCACTTCCAGTCTTTTCTGTTTATGTGGTACTGAGGAATGGAACCCAGGGCTTCATGCATGCTAGACAAGCACTCTACCACTAAGCCATATTCCCATTCTTTCAGTTAGAGGGACTCTCTGACTGTCCTATGGTCTTTTTTTTTTTTTTCGTCAGTTGTGTGGCTTGAACTCTTGGCCTGGGTGCTGTCCGTGAGCTCTTCAGCTCAAGTTGAGCACTCTACCACTTGAGCCACAGGCAGGGCTGGCTTTGAACTGCGATTCTCAGATCTCAGCCTCCTGAGTAGCTAGGATCACAGGTGTGAGCCATCAGTGCCCGGCTTGTCCTATGCTCTTTTTGCTATTCTCAACTTCATCTATTGCTCTAGTTCTCCTATTCTTCCTATCCTTACCTCCCACTTCACCGTCCTCTTCTAGACTCTCAGCAGTCCATTTGTTCCCTTGGGAGTTGTCCCCTGATGCCTATGTCTATTTCAGGATCCTGATGTATGAGGAAAGAGCCAGAGAACAGGAAAAACCAACGGGTCCCCCAGCCAAAAGAGCTATCTCTGAGTTGCCTTAATTGGGCAACATGGAAAAAGAAGACAAATTGTGAGCCAGAGTTGAACTAAATTAAATAAATCAATTTTCCTATCCCCCTCCCCCAGTCAAATCAGCTTGGTTTTTATTTGGGGGATTTTTAACTCACTGGGTTTGGTTTAAAACTTGCTGGGCATGGTGGCTCAAGCTTGTAATCCTAGCAACTTGGGAGGAGATCAGACATCTTAGCTCAAGGCTAGTCAAGTCAAAAAAGTTCACAAGGGCTAGGAAGGTGGCTCAGTGGTAGAGTGCTTGCCTTGCATGCATGAGGCCCCTGGGTTCAATTCCTCAGTACCACATAAGTAGAAAAAGCCAGAAGTGGCGCTGTGGCTCAAGTGGTAGAGCATATTCTTGAGCTGAAGAGCTGAGAGACAGCACACAGGCCCAGAGTTCAGGCCCCATGACCAACAAAAAAAAAAAAAAAAGTTCACAAGACTCCATATCAGCCAATGGCTGGGTGCAGTGGCATGTATCTGTCATCTGCAGGAACTCAGGGAAGCACAAGTAGGAAGATTGTGACCTAGGCCTGCCTGGGGCCAGTGGTGTGGCTCCAGAGGTAGACTAATTCAAGTTTTGTTTGGCTTTTCTTTGGTCCTGGAGCTTGAACTCAGGCCCTGAGCTCTTCAGCTCAAGGTGAACGCTCTACCACTTGTTCAATGCTAGTACTCTAGCACTTTGACCTACAGCACCATTTCCAGCTTTTTGGCAGTTAATTGGGCCCAGAGTTCAGGCCCCACCACGACCGGACCCAAAAACAAAACAAAAAGTGGGAAGTAGAACTATGGCTCAGACAGCAGGTCTGAGAACTGAGGTCCGAAAGTCAGCCCAGGCTGACTCATTCTGTCTCTGTCTCTCTCCTTCCTTCCTTTTTTCTTTTTGCCAGTCCTGGGCCTTGAACTCAGGGCCTAGACTCGGTCCCTGAGCTTCTCTCTGCTCAAGGCTCTTAGAGCTTTACCACTTGAGCCACAGTGCTGGCTTTTTCTGTTTATGTGGTACTAGGAATCAAATCCAGGGCTTCAGGCATGCTAGCTAGGCAAGCACTTACCACTAAGCCACATTCCCAGCCCCTGGGGCTAACTTTTTCTAATTAACCAGCCAAAAGCTGGAACTGGAGGTGTACTAGAGCACCAGCCAAGTGAGAATTTGAGGCTCTGAATTCAAGCCTCAATATTTGATCTCTCTCTCTCTCACACACACACACACAAAATGATGTTATATGAGTTAGTAAGTACTCTGAGGGTTTGTACTTTTTTTTTGTCAGTTGTTAGGCTTGAACTCTGGGTCTAGGCGCCATCCCTGAGCTCTTCAGTTCAAGGCCTAGTGCTCTACTACTTTGAGCCACAGGGTCACTTCTGGTTTTCTGGTGGTTAATTGGAGATAAGAGTCTTATGGACTTTCCTGCCTGAGCTGGCTTTGAACCTTGATACTCAGATCTCAGCCTTCTGAGTAGCTAGGATTACAGGCGTGAGCCACCAGCACTCACCTTAAATTATTTTTTTGTGCTTGAACTCAGGCCTTATTATATTCTTGCTTAGCTTTTTCTGCTCAAGCTTGAAAACAAGCCATCTTCAATCTTAATGAGCCTCAGGTTAAATTTTTATTTGCGGGTACAGCACAAATTTGTCTAGCATGCTTGAAGGCCCTAGCTTTAATACCCAGCAGTGCAAATAAATATATAAATGACACATAAAAATTGGTTTCAGGGCTTGGAAGGTGGCTCAATGGTAGAGTGCGTGCTTCACATGCATGAGGCCCTAGGTTCGATTCCTCAGCACCACATAAGCAGAAAAAGCCGGAAGTGTCACTGTAGCTCCAGTGGTAGAGTGCTAGCCTTAAGTTGAAGAGCTGAGGTACAGCATCCAGGCCCAAGAGTTCAGGTCCCACGACTAGGAAAAAAAAAAAAAAGGATTCATCTTAAATCTTAGCGAAACTTAGGTTAAATTATTTATTTTTGTCGGTCATGGGGCTTGAACTCTGGGCTTGCGCACGGTCCCTCAGCAATTTAGCTCAAGGCGAGCACTCTACTGCTTGAGCCACAGTGCCACTTCTGGTTTTCTAGTAGTTTATTGGAGATAAGACTCATGGACTTTCCTGCCCAGGCTGGCTTTGAACCAAGATCCTCAGATCTCAGCCTCCTAAGTAGTTAGGATTACAGGTGTGAGCCACCATCGCCCGGTGTTATTTTATTTTTTGTGTGCTGAAACTGGGGTTTGAACTCAGGGCCTAGGCACTGTGTCTCAGCTTTTTCTGCTCAAGGTTGGACTCTATCACTTGAAGCTATAACTCCATTTCCTACCTTTTTGGTGGTTAACTGGTGATAAGAGTGTCTCAGCCTTTCCTGTTTGAACTTGCTTCAATACACAATCTTCAGATCTCTGCCTCCTGAGTAGTTTATGATTACAGACCAAGGTCTGGCTAAAATTTTACTTATTTGATGCTGGGGATTAAATTCAGGGCTTTGATCATAAGTTGTACCCCTAAGCTAACAGCCCTAACCAAAGCTAAAATTTTTAAGTATGTTCTGAAAACTTTTGTCTTCATTGTCTCTACTGAGCAGTCACTTTATTTAGCCATGTCATCTAGGCCTCTACTCATTTGCTCACCGTGCACATCTCCTCAAACTTAGTCAAGTTCTAGCTAGTTATTCACATCTAGTAAGTTTTATTTTGTTTTGGTGGTACTGGGGTCTGGATTCAGGGCCTCTGACTTGCTGGGCAGGAGTTCTACTGCTGAGACACACCGTTTAGCCCCTTTTTTTCTCCAAGCACTTTCCCAGACATCGTCAGCTTTTATACCCCTAACCTCTGTAATATTTTGTGCCTATTTCCAGTGCTTCAAAATTGTGTTACTCATAATGATGTGAATAAGCAATAGGTCTGATGGGACCAGAGAGCTCCAGAGGGCTCTATTACAAATACTGAGACAAAGTACTATTATTTCAAGAATTAAAAATCATTGTTGAGAGGATACAAATTGCAAAAAATATCAAATATAAAAGTCATAAAAATTAGAGGATATTAAATTAAATGTCTTGGTCACTACTTGCCAATATTTTGATGAGTTGCTTGTTCCTTGTCTTTGTTCAAATGATTTAAACTACTCAAAAAATGCCTGGAGTGTCGATGACACTCCTTAGGACCCTTGGATTGGCCTACCTACCCCACTTCCATGATTAAATAAATGGAAGGCTAGGCCCCACTGATGCCTTCACCTCTCGAGAAAGGACGCGTGACCTGGGGTTCTCCCCGGGTCTACGTAAACTCCGCCTCTCGCTAGCTAGTCCTTCCCGTTCTCCCAGTTCCCCGTCTGGTCCGTTGGAAGGACTACCGGCTTTGCATCGTTTCCTTCCATTTTCAGCGTCCCGACGTCTCTCCGCTCCCATTTTCCCAAGGACGCACGACGCATGCCCCACCTCTTTCTCCTAGCAGTCGTCGTGTAAATTCTGCGCCCCAACCGCCTACTTGACCGGCGCCGCAGTCCCGCCTCCTCTACGCGTCTCAACGGCCGACGCTGGAGGCCTACTTCCTCAGCCAACCGGCATCCTAGCGCCTGTAAGTCCCTCCTCTTTATGCAAATAACCTCTAAAAGCTCACCCAATCTTTTTTTTTTTTTTGTGGACAGCCTTAGAAGAGGAATAGGATGGGAAAGGCCCCGCCCTTTATGTAAATTAGGGGGCGTATCCAAAAGCGGAGGGAGGTGGGGGGGTGCTCCCGGGGGCGGCGGTTGCCCGGATGGGCCGTTAGTCGGAGCCCAGCGCGGAGTGAGCGAGGGAGACGGGAGGAGCCGAACCCGGCGCCATCCGCCGCCATCCGTCCCCGCCCCACCGCCATCCGCCCCGGGGAACCACTAAGCCCCGGTCCCGGACCCCCGCGCACCCGGCCAGGTGAGTCTGGGCGAGCAGAGCGCTGACACCCTTTTCCGGGGTGGGGGCGCCGGCGGCGGCGGCGGCGGTGGCGGCGGCGGTGGCGGGCCGGGGAGGGGGGGGCGGGGGAGGAGGAGAAGCTGCCATTAGCCGCCGCCATTTTGTCCTCCTGCTGCCGGCCCTGCCTGCCCCTCCCCCTCCGGTACCTCTACCGGGACCGGCACCTTCAGCACTTCTCAGGTTCTGCAGCCTGCCCCTACCCACCTACCGTTCTAGCTTCCGAGGACGACCCTGCTCTTCCGCTCATCACCCCCCTCCGCCATGCTCACCCCATCTGTTGACCCCCTCTGCGCCGCCCTGGGGTCGGCCGCGGCTGACCTACCTCCTCTTGAAGGGTCTTCCATATTATTGGATCCTCTTCTGTCTCCCTCCGTTATAGTTCCCCCTTCTTGGCCCTCCTCTTTGCGTCGAGTCACTCCCCTTCTGGAACCCAGCATCTTTGCCTTCTATGTGCCCCAGTCCTGTTTTGTCACTTTTTCTGTTAGCCCTGTCCCTGTCTTTCTTCCTCAACCCCCTTTTTCTTCGTGGGTTTCTGGACACTGCCTCTTCACTTTTCTCCTCATCTCTGCTGTTCCTGCTTCCCTATATTGGTTGTTTGCCTGCCTTTATACTAATTCCTTTTTTTTTTTTTATTAGTTTTAGTTTATTCAATCTAGGATTTTTCTGTCTCTTTTAGATTCCTATATTCATTTTTTGACTGACTACCTATAAATCAACTCCTGTCCTCTCATCTCTTGCTTGTCATAAAGTTCTCTCCTAATATTGGCTTTCATCCTGGACCTGCTTTCTTCCCCCCCCCCCCCCCCACGTCCTCCTCCCTCACTCTCCCTCTTTTATTTCCCCCTCTCTCTTACTATTCCCACACACAAATGAATGCTTTGTTCCTCTAGAATGGATTGAGGATGGAGCTTTTGGTCTGCTTTTGGAGGCGGGGGCCCTTAAGGAAATGACTGCTGGACATTTTTAATGAGGATAGGACAATTAAGTTGGTTCAGGCCTTGGCCCTCTTGTGTCTGGCCCACAGTTCTCAGGGTACCTCTTTAATGCTTTTGTTTTTCCTAGTTCTATATATAAGGGTAATCAAGGCCCACTAGTATTTTTTTCTGGAGACAGGATTGTTTCCAGGAGCCAATGTTGGGGCAAGTTGAGAAAAAGATTGAGTTTTCTAAATACCACTTGGGGTTCTGGAGCCTAGGAGTATGTAGAGTTTCTATCCTCATGGGAATTTCTTTCGTACCAGCTCCCAGTGTCAGGGAGCATGCTGGCAAATCCTAAAAGTCCCAGCATACCTTCCTTCAAATCTCCCCAGATGGGACTTTGGGCTGCTGGGAATGGAACTTGGGGCACAGGAGCCCTGGGGCATTATTAAGAAGCTGGTATCTAATAACTTGGTGGGTCTCAAGGCTCTCTTCCCTGTGTGATGGAGTTGTATGCTGCTTTCTGGTTTTCTCTGGTGCTTAGACTAGGCCCATTTTAATGTAGGTCTCTGAAGTGATTTTGGTGGAGAGAGATTTTTTTCCTTTGGGGAATAATGAAGATGATACTACCCTTGCTACAATGTCACAGAGGACATGGTATTTATATGAGGATATAGATTTTTATTTGGTTTTCCTTGCTTGGCAAGGAGGTGTCTGGAAGGAAGAGGAAATATGGTATTTGGGCTATGGGAGCTGAGCATATAGTAGTTTCTTAAAGGGTCTGGGCCAAAGGAAAAGATGAAAGGGCTCCAGATCTGGTTCCCTAATAATGAGAATGAAAAGAAGCTTCTAGTCTTTTGTATTTTGTGTAGGGGGCAAAGACTGAGACACCTCTGTCTGGCCCACAGGCTCCGGCACGTTTTGGGGGAGGTGCCTGCAGGACCCAACTTACTCAATGAGCTTCCAGCGCAATGTCCGATCGCTCGGGGCCGACTGCCAAGGGGAAGGATGGAAAGAAGTATTCCTCGCTCAACCTGTTTGATACGTATAAGGGCAAGTCCTTAGAGATCCAGAAACCCGCTGGTGAGGGTCGTCCTACAACATGCTCCTAGTAATTGTGGCTAGGCATGTATGGGGTATATAGACTTTAGAGCTTTTGGGGGGGGGAACAAACCTAGTACTATAGTAAAGATAGGAAATGCTTAGAGAAACATTGGAGACCTCCCAGTTTTACCTTGGGATCTGAAGAGAGGGTATTGGCCTCTGGGTGAACACTTGTTACCCTCCTACAAAGGCGTGTCTTTTGTTCCCTGTCATTGGACACGTAAGAATTGGAGGCAAAAAAATGTGAATTTGGAGAAATCTAGGGCCAGCTTGCACTCCGCAGGCTCAAGATCAACCGTACTACATAGAAACAATGAATATAAATAATCTCATGCTTCCTAGTAGAGATTTCAAAGGCTATTACCAAGGGAAGAGATAGTTTTGAAGAGAAATTTGGAGTAGGTAATAGGATATTGAGGATGTATGTGTAAATGGGGCCTGAAGTTGAAGTCTATCAGATCTCCTATGTGAGACCTTTTTGACCCTCTCTCCACCTTTTCTTTAGTTGCCCCTCGCCATGGCCTGCAGAGTCTTGGAAAAGTTGCCATTGCTCGGCGTATGCCACCCCCAGCCAACCTTCCAAGCCTGAAAGCCGAGAACAAAGGCAATGACCCCAATGTCTCACTAGTGCCGAAAGACGGAACAGGATGGGCAAGCAAACAGGAGCAGTCCGACCCCAAGAGGTACACAATTTTGGAAGCACCTAGGATCCATGAGTATTTTAATTTGAACTTTGGCATGAATTGAAACTTGGTCTAGTCCAGCCAGAGCCATAGCCACAGCTTATTTCAGGCTTCTTGTTCGAAGGCTAAGAAATGACACCTTTAGCTTTCTTCCAGATAGAGAGAAAGCATGGAAAAAATACAGAACATCCCATTCAGGGTGGCAGAATTATTTTGTCATATTTGTAGATGGGAGTGGTAGGAATTAGAATACTTAGGAGTATCTCAGGCTCTGGATGACCTTTCTCATTTTACCGTCCCCTCAGTTCCGATGCCTCAACCGCTCAGCCGCCGGAATCGCAGCCACAGCCGGCTTCACAGACGCCTGCCTCCAACCAACCGAAACGACCCCCAACAGCCCCCGAGGTACCTAACAAACTGAAGGGGTTGGGAGAAGAATGGCTTGTTGTTCTTCCACCCACATTACCATTTATTATCTGTCTGTTTTCCTAGAACACTCCTTCCGTTCCAAGCGGAGTAAAGTCCTGGGCACAAGCCAGCGTCACCCATGGAGCCCATGGAGATGGTGAGTTCAGGGCTGTATTGGGGTATCATGGGAGTCAGGAGCCCTGCACTATGCCCTCAAAAAAGTGTCCTTGGTCTAAAGGCTATTCATGCCCCATGTTCAGTTCATGGGGCATAGGATCAAGGTTAAAGATTTGAGAGGTCCTAGAACTGACCCTGTCTCTTGGGGAATGGACACCTATTCCAAAGAGATGTTTATATGGTGTATCCTTAGTAAATGTTACCCTCATCTCAACAGGTGGAAGGGCATCAAGCCTACTGTCGCGATTCTCTCGAGAGGAATTTCCGACCCTGCAGGCGGCTGGCGACCAGGACAAGGCTGCCAAGGAAAGGGAGTCTGCCGAACAGTCGTCTGGGCCAGGACCAAGCCTCCGCCCCCAAAGTGAGTTGTTGCCTTTTAACCAAGATATTAACCTATCCCATTCAGAGCTAAATGTTGGTTTATTTACCCTATTTAGTGTGTTTGCTTCTCCTCTTCTCCATTATCATTAATCACTCCCCCTTTCTCCTTTCCTCTCTCTTTCTCTATAGATCCTACAACTTGGAGGGACGGAGGTGGACGTGGCCCTGATGAGCTGGAGGGCCCGGACTCCAAACTTCATCATGGTCATGATCCCCGGGGGGGACTGCAGCCTTCAGGCCCACCCCAGTTCCCTCCCTATCGCGGAATGATGCCGCCCTTCGTGAGTCTGGCTATCTTATTTTGAAGTGGTTGCACTGGAAACTAGAGTGTTAGGAATCAGGAGTTAGTCTTTGAGAGGCACAGTTAAAGCAGACATCAATGAAACAGGCTGGTGGGAGGATGATAGGCGTATAGAGTTGGCATTCTATTTGTCTGTCCCTCTGAGCAACTACTGTTGGGCCATTTTGCAGATGTATCCCCCATATCTCCCGTTCCCTCCGCCCTATGGACCCCAGGGGCCTTACCGATACCCCACTCCTGATGGGCCCAGGTGAGCAATCCAGGTCTGGGTTTGTGGTTGGGGGCAGGGTAAGCCTGTTGAGGGAGGAGATGGTTTTCTAGCCAGGAGGTTTGTCTTGTATGTGGTCTTACAATGTTCCCTCTTTAATTGTGTTTCATTTTTCTTTCCATACACAGCCGTTTTCCCCGTGTGGCGGGCCCCCGGGGCTCAGGGCCACCAATGCGCCTTGTAGAGCCTGTGGGTCGGCCTTCTATTCTCAAAGAGGATAATCTCAAAGAATTTGACCAGTTGGACCAGGAGAATGATGATGGTTGGGCAGGTGAGTAGATGTTAAGGCTCAAATGTCTAGGGTTTTTTTTGTTACTGTTTTTGTTGTGATTGCTAGGATTACAGGCAGAAGCCGCCAGTGCCTGAACTCAGAGCCTGGACTCTGTCCCTGAGCCTCTTTGTGCTCAGGGATAACACTTTACCAATTGAGCCACAGTGCTACTTTGAGCTTTTTCTGGTCGGTCATGGGGCTTGAACTCTGGGCCTGGGCGCTGTCCCTCAGCTCTTCAGCTCAAGGTGAGCGCTCTACCACTTGAGCTACAGCGCCACTTACTTTGAGCTTTTTCTGAGTAGCGTATTGGAGATGAGTCTCATAGGCTTTCTTGCCTAGGCTGGCTTTGAACCACGATCTCAGATCTCAGCCTCCTGAGTAGCTAGGATTACAGGTGTGAGCTACTGGTGCTCAGCCATGTTTAGATTTTATTGTTTGTTTGCTTTTTTGTTTTTTGGGGTTTTTTTGGTTGGTTGTGGGGTTTGATCATGTTTAGATTTAAAAAATGCAAAAGTGATGAGTGGTGTGGGAGCAAATCAGGTATTAATTGGGGAGGAGAAAATACATGAAGAAAAACAAAAGTCCTAGGAAAGTACTGAAAGGAGCTTTGTTGACCCAGACTTCAAGAGGAAGGAGTCAGCATGAATAGTGCATCCCATCACGCACTTCGTGTCACTTCCTATATACATAGGAAGGTATGTCTGATTGGAGAGCAGAATGCTTAAATTACTAATCATTTTCCTCCCTCAGGAGCCCATGAAGAGGTTGACTACACTGAAAAGCTGAAGTTCAGTGATGAGGAAGATGGGCGAGACTCCGATGAAGAGGGAGCTGAGGGCCAGTGAGTTAAGCCATCAGATGTGGGGACTGTTTTTCTCAGGATAATATAATCTTAGAGGAGCTGGCTCACAGCTGAATTTAATTCCACTGTTGATCTGCTCACAGCAAGGATTCCCAGTCAGCTGCTGGTGAGGAGCGGCCCCCTGAAGCAGATGGCAAAAAGGGCATTTCCCCTGGCAGCGAACCGCCCCCTCCCAAGACGGCCTGGGCAGAGACCTCTCGGCCTTCAGAGACAGAGTTGGGGCCTCCTGCCCCAAAGCCTCCCCCACCCCCGCCTCACCGGGGCCCCACCGGGAACTGGGGCCCCCCTGGGGACTACCCAGTGAGTGTCTATAATAAGGGGTTGAGAGGGTCCACTTGTGGGAGGTGTGTCAGCTGACTAAAGTAGTAATGGAAAGCTATGAGAGAGGGGGCTGAAAATGGGTTCCATAAAGTATAGATGATGTTTGTTTTCCAGTTTTGGGTTTTGGACTCAGGGCCTGGGGTGGGGTGTCCATGAGCTTTTTTGCTCAAGGCTAGTTATGCTCTCCCACTTTAAGACATAGTACCACTTCCAGTTTTCTGATGGTTAATTGGAGATAAGAGTCTCATAGAGTTTCCTGCCCGGGAAGGCTTTGAACTATATCCTCAGATATCAGCCTTCTGAGTAGCTAGGATTATAGGCATAAACCACCAGCGCTTGACTGAAGTATAGTTGTTAAAAGCAGCTCTGAAAAACTAGGAACATCTTTGCTACCAGGGGAGTCTAGAAGATAAATTGGGAGGTTGAATAAAGGCTTTCGTGTCTCCAAAGGGTAGGAGGAGAGAAAAAGATGAGGGGAAAGTTGTCTCCATACACAGTTCAACACTGAGACTTGATCCTTGTATCTATAGATAGAGGCAGTTGGTTAAGCTGTGAGTGAGATGGTAGAAAGCATGATGACTGATATCCCTTGTCTGCCTGTTGACAGGATCGTGGGGGTCCTCCCTGCAAGCCACCAGCACCTGAAGATGAGGATGAGGCATGGCGGCAGCGGCGAAAACAGTCTTCATCTGAAATTTCCCTAGCAGTGGAACGGGCTCGGCGTCGCCGAGAAGAGGAAGAGCGGCGTATGCAGGAGGAGCGCCGGGCAGCCTGTGCTGAGAAGCTCAAGCGGCTTGATGAAAAGTTTGGGGCACCCGACAAACGGCTCAAAGCAGAGCCTGCAGCTCCACCTGCCCCTCCTGCCCCAGCTCCACCACCTGTAGTCCCCAAAGAACTCCCTGCACCTCCAGCTCTGCCGCCAGCTCCAGCCCCAGCACCAGAGAAAGATGCTGAAGAGCCAGCCCAGCCTCCTCCTGCCCAGTCCACCCCCAATTCAGGTGTGGCTCCAGCTCCCACTCTGGTGAGTGGTGGTGGCACAACCAGTAGCACCAGCAGTGCCAGCTTCGAATCCAGTCCAGGTATGGAGCAAGTAGATAGGTAATACTAGGTGTCAGGTTTTTGCTTGGCTTGAAGGGTACACAAGGTGGTGGGAGTGGGAATAAAGTAGAAGGAAATTTTTGCTTTACTGAGTTATCTTATGGAAAGGGTCCCATCATAGGGGTTTCAGAGATCTGAAACCTTTCTCTAAGCCAGACACTTGTGGCTCACACCTGTAATCCTATCTCCTCAGGAGGCTGAGATCTGAGGATTGTGTTTTGAAATCAGCCTGGGCAAGAAAGTCCATGAGACTCTTAACCTCTAACCACCAAAAAAACCAGAAGTAGAGCTGTGGCTAAAGTGATAGAGTGCCAGCCTTGAGCAAAAAAAAAGCTGGGGCGGGGGAAGGGTAGGGCTGAGAATGTGGCTTAGTGGTAGAGTGCTTCCCTAGCATTCATGAAGCCCTGGGTTCGATTCGTCCGTACCACATAAGCAGAAAAGCTGGAAGTGGCACTGTGGCTCAAGTGGTAGAAGAGTACTAGCCTTGAGCAAAGGAAGCTCAGGGACAGTGCCCAGGCCCTGAGTTCAAGCCCCAGGACTGGCTAAAAAGTAAAGCTCAGGGATAGCACCCAGATTCTAAATCATTCCCTGCCGGCTTCCCCCCCCCCCCCCCCCCGCCCCCCGCCCCCATAGGCCTAGAATGGAATAAGGCTAAAGAAAATGATTGGGGAGGGAGTCTCACAGGAAATTAGTACTAGGATCTTTGGCTCTGGAAGCCATGGAGAGTTTTTATGGTCTAAATCAGGAAGGGCTTCAGCACAATAGATGTACAATTGAGCACTTAAATGAGAGCCTAGATTCTGTGATGGTATACATCTTAATGGATGAGGACACTTTTCTTCAATGCAGTGGAACCCCAGCTGCCTTCCAAAGAGGGTCCTGAACCACCAGAAGAGGTTCCTCCACCTTCCACACCCCCAGCCCCAAAGGTGGAATCTAAGGGTGATGGGGTTGGGCCTACACGACAGCCCCCCAGTCAAAGCTTGGGTTACCCCAAATATCAGAAGTCGTTGCCTCCTCGTTTCCAGAGGCAGCAACAGGTGAGATTTGGTTACCTCCCTCTTTTAAGGGCTGCTGCTCTCTGCTTTATTTATCCTTTCTGGGTGTTTCTGCCTCTGCCTTTGTCTGTCTCTGTAGTTTTGATCTAGTCCAGGTTTTTGTCATATTTGTGCTGATTTCCCTTGTGTGGGACTTTGATGACTTCTGTCTTTTGTTCTTCCCAGGAGCAGCTCCTGAAGCAGCAGCAGCAGCAGCAGTGGCAGCAGCAGCAGCAAGGCTCTGCTCCTCCTGCCCCAGTGCCCCCGTCACCACCACAACCTGTGACCCTGGGAGCTGTTCCAGCTCCACAGGCTCCACCCCCACCCCCAAAAGCCCTGTACCCAGGTGCTCTGGGCCGGCCCCCACCCATGCCCCCAATGAACTTTGATCCCCGCTGGATGATGATTCCTCCTTACGTGGACCCTCGGCTCCTCCAGGGTCGACCCCCTTTGGACTTCTACCCTCCTGGTGTGCATCCTTCTGGTAAGGGGCTGTGGGATTAATGGCCATAGGTCATGAGTTGCCAAGGGAACAGAGTATTCTTCATTGCTCAGGATTTATTTGGGGAATTGATGGTTGCATAGAAAAACCAAGTGCTGTTTCACAAGAGCAGTTAAGGGCCAGACTTAATAGCAGCAAGAGGTGCCGCTTTGACAGAAATGAGGTTAAGAAGATTAAGGCTGGAGTGTCTATGAGATAGGATTGTTTTTCTTTGTTTTCCTTAGGCCTAGTTCCCCGGGAGCGCTCAGACAGTGGGGGCTCGAGCTCAGAGCCATTTGAGCGCCATGTACCCCCCCTGCTACGGGATCGAGGCACCCCACCAGTGGATCCAAAGTTGGCCTGGGTAGGAGATGTCTTCACCACCACACCCACTGACCCTCGCCCACTCACCTCACCACTGCGCCAGGTTGCAGATGAAGAGGAAAAAGGGATGAGGTGAGTCTTGGTACTGAGGAAAATGAGAGTTTATGGCCTGGTGAAAGGACCTAAGCCTAGGGTTAAGGTACTGTGGATTAGGAGAGATGTAGGAATGAACACAAAATGAGTGTCTAGATAGTTCATAACTGTTTTCTTTCTCCCAGCTAGTTTCACACATTTCCTCATCTGGAGATTGGAGGTGCTTTCATTCTTTTCTGTCTCCCTCTTTAGGAGCGAGACTCCTCCAGTACCCGCCCCACCACCTTATCTGGCCAGTTATCCAGGATTTCCAGAGAATGGAGCTCCTGGGCCCCCAATTTCTCGCTTCCCTCTGGAGGAACCAGCTCCCTCAGGGTCCCGTCCGGTCCCCTGGCCTCCAGGCAGTGATGAAGCTGCCAAGATACAGGCTCCACAGTCCAAGAAGGAATCCCCCAAGGAGGAAACTTCACAGCTGACAGGGCCAGAAACAGGCCGAAAGCCTGCCCGTGGAAGTGGCCAAGGGCCTCCACCACCACGCAGAGAGAGCCGCACTGAGACCCGCTGGGGCCCCCGTCCAGGTAGCAGTCGTCGTGGAATCCCTCCAGAGGAGCCAGGGGCCCCTCCTCGCCGGGCAGGGCCTATAAAGAAACCACCTCCACCTGTCAAAGTTGAAGAACTGCCTCCTAAGCCCTCGGAGCAGGGTGATGAAACCCCCAAGGTCCCAAAGCCAGATCCACTCAAGACAGCCAAGAGCAAGATGGGGCCTAAGGAGACCCCACCAAGTGGAAATCTTTCTCCTGCACCAAGGCTTCGGAGGGACTATTCGTATGAAAGAGTGGGTCCTACCTCGTGTAGGGGCCGGGGCCGAGGAGAGTATTTTGCCAGAGGGAGGGGTTTTCGGGGTACCTATGGAGGTAGGGGACGGGGAGCCCGAAGTCGGGAATTCCGAAGTTACCGGGAATTCCGTGGAGATGATGGGCGTGGAGGTGGGACAGGAGGACCAAATCACCCCCCTGCTTCCCGAGGCCGCACTGCCAGTGAGACACGAAGTGAGGGTTCAGAGTATGAAGAAATCCCTAAGCGTCGCCGGCAGCGTGGATCAGAAACAGGCAGTGAGACCCATGAGAGTGATCTGGCCCCCTCAGACAAAGAGGCCCCACCGCCTAAGGAAGGAGGGCTCACCCAGGCCCCTCTTGCTCCCCCACCACCTGGAGCTCCTCCTTCACCCGCCCCTGCCCGCTTTTCCACAGCCCGGGGAGGGCGTGTGTTCACTCCCAGAGGGGTGCCATCTCGGAGGGGCAGGGGAGGAGGGCGGCCTCCCCCTCCTGTGTGCCCAGGCTGGAGCCCTCCAACCAAGTCCCTGGTTCCAAAGAAACCTCCAGCAGGTCCTTTGCCCCCAAGTAAGGAGCCTTTGAAAGAAAAGCTGATAGCAGGGCCGATGTCTCCCATGGCCCGGGGAGGCAGCAACGGAAGCAACATGGGTATTGGTGTGGAAGATGGGGAGCGACCACGAAGACGACGACATGGGAGAGCTCAGCAGCAGGACAAGCCACCTCGTTTCCGGAGGCTGAAACAGGAACGGGAGAACGCTGCCAGAGGGGTCGAGAGCAAACCCTCCTTAACCCTGCCAGCCTCCACCCCTGGGCCCGAGGAAGCCCTGGCAACAGCCACAGTGCCCCCACCACCTCGAAGGGCGGCTGCCAAGTCTCCTGATCTGTCAAACCAGAACTCTGACCAAGCCAATGAGGAGTGGGAGACTGCATCAGAGAGCAGCGACTTTGCCAGTGAACGCCGGGGAGACAAAGAAGCTCCCCCGCCAGCATTAATGGCCCCCAAAGCTGTGGGAACTGGGGGCAGCACAGGTGGGGCTGGACCAGGCATTTCAGCTATGTCTCGTGGAGATCTGAGCCAGAGAGCCAAGGATTTGAGCAAGCGGAGCTTCTCTAGTCAGCGGCCAGGCATGGATCGGCAGAACCGCCGCCCAGGCCCTGGGAGCAAGGCTGGAGGTGGTGGCAGTGGAGGTGGTGGCGGGGGGCCTGGAGGAAGAACTGGCCCAGGACGAGGGGACAAGAGGAGCTGGCCCTCACCAAAGAACCGGAGGTAGGTAGGGAGTGAACTCTAAGGTTAAAACAATGCGGGAGGAAGTAGGGTTTATGGCAGGGCATCATCTATCTGAGGGCATGGATTCGTTAAAAATGCACTGGGACCAGGCACCGGTGGCTCCGCCTGTAATCCTAGCTACTCAGGAGCCTGAGATGTGAGGATTGTGGTTCAGCCTAGGCAGGAAAGTCCATGAGACTTAGAATAAACCACCTGAAAGCTGCAAGTGGCGCTGTGGCTCAAGTAATAGAGCACTCGCCTTGAGCTGAAGAGCTGAGGGACAGCGCCCAAGCCCAGAGTTCAAGCCCCATGACTGACCAAAAAAAAAAAGGAAAAAGCACTGCAATTCCCTCGGTTTGCTGAGGCAGCTAGAAAAAAGCATTTGGCAAAGTGATAGTAACACTCTTACGTGGATTACAGAACTGTATAAGTGGAAATCCTTAGGAGGAGTCATAGGTTGTTATGGGAGAAGTTGGAAAACATGCTTGTGGGGAAACACTTAACAGTTCAGTGAACCCTGGAGCTGACGCTCTGTTTTCTTCAGCCGTCCTCCAGAGGAACGTCCCCCGGGGCTTCCCCTGCCTCCCCCGCCCCCCAGCAGTTCTGCTGTCTTCCGCCTGGACCAAGTTATCCACAGCAACCCTGCTGGCATCCAACAGGCTTTGGCCCAGCTTAGCAGTCGCCAAGGAAGTGTAACTGCACCAGGGGGCCACCCAAGGCCCAAGCCTGGGCCTCCCCAAGCCCCCCAGGGCTCGTCCCCTCGGCCCCCAACCCGATACGACTCCCCGAGGGCCAACAATGGCACCAGCTCTGGTAAGCTGGGGAAGGCTTGGTAGGAATTCCTCTATCTCTAAAGAGTGTTAGGTGATGGAGCAGGAACTGTATTGCCTGGAGGTTGGTGGGGTCCAGTGAGCAAGGCTAGAAGGAGGAAGGATTGGGAGTTGGAGTAGGGAGGAAAAGCTCTAGTCAGTGGTAGAGCAAGGTAAGTGCTGACAGTTTTCTATTTTCCCCAGACTCTCACTTCGAGGAGTCAGGGCCCATGGTGAGGGGGATGAGCGGAACTCCCCGGGACTCTGCTGGGGTTAATCCCTTTCCCCCAAAACGGCGGGAGCGGCCTCCCCGAAAGCCAGAGTTGCTGCAGGAGGTGAGCAATGGCACTGGAGGTTGTGCTTCATTGTACTCTCACTTCTTTTCCTTTTTAAGTTGTGAGTTGATATACATTTGTAATATGGAGTTTATTGTGATAGTTCCATACATACACATCATGTACTGTGAATAAATAAATTTCCACCACATTCCCATTGCTCCTTCCTGCTGGGTTTGGTGGGTTTCAGTGTGTGTGTGCGGGGGTTGGGGGGAAACCTTTCAGTCCTCTTCACCATTCCCTCACTCACTTTTATTTGGGGGGGGAATCCGGTCGTGGGACCTGAACTCTGGGCCTGGGCACCGTCCCTCATCTCTTCAGCTCAAGGCTAGCACTCTACCATTTGAGCCACTTCCGGCTTTTTTTTCTTTTTGCTTATGTGGTGCTGGGGAATCGAACCCAAGGCCTCAGGCATGCAAGGCAGGCGCTCTACCATTGAGCCACCTTCCCAGCCCCCTCACTCACTTTTGAAAGGTCTCTTTTCTCCATGCTTTGCTTTTCTTATCATGTGTTCCCAAAGTTCTCATTAGTAATCTGTATTGATCTCTTATTACTCCTTCATTGCTACCAACCCCACCACTATGTCTCAGCTTTATACATTTTCACTTGCCAGCTAATTTGTGTTTTGTCCTTTGGGTTTTCTCACCTTTAGGAGTCTTTGCAATCTTCACATAGCTCTGGATTCTTGGGCTCTAAGCCAGAGGTCCCAGGCACTCAGGGAGAATCCAGAGATGCAGGCCCAGAGGCCCTGACCCCCCACATCTGGAATCATTTACATAATGGTGAGTAAAGCTGAGTGGAGGGAAGGAATGATGGAGGTTTAGAGTGGGGTGGGCTTTAGACTTCTCTCACTGCCTCCATCCATCCTGGTTGGTGCTCTCCTGCAGCCACTAGCCGAAAGAGTTACCAGCCTGGCTCCATGGAGCCCTGGATGGAGCCTCTGAGTCCATTTGAGGATGTGGCTGGCACAGAGGTGAGTGAGGATGGGAGGAGGGTGCAGCTGAGCTGGGATACTATCAAACACTGGCCATATTTTTTCTCCTATTCTGGGTCGTGTCTGGCTAATTTTACATGGATGTATCCTTCATTTTATCTGTATATGCGCATCAGTCAGGTATTGGGGTGCTCTCTGCCCCAACTTAACTAGCTCCTTCTCCACTCCTCTCAGATGAGTCAGTCTGACAGTGGGGTGGACCTGAGTGGGGATTCTCAGGTGTCATCAGGTCCCTGCAGCCAGCGAAGTTCCCCTGATGGAGGACTCAAGGGGGCAGCAGAGGGACCCCCCAAGCGGCCTGGAGGCCCCTCACCCCTGAATGCAGTTCCTGGTGAGGGTCCACCTGGCTCTGAACCCTCTGAACCTCCTAGGAGACGGCCACCTGCGTCCAGTGAAGGGGATAGAAAGGTAAAACAGGGATAGAGGAATTTCATTATGGCCCTCCCTTTTCTACTCCTTTGCTCTCACTTGGGCTTCCTTTCCTTCTCCCCAACTCCACCTTACTGTTTCCCAACCCAGGAGCTGCCCCGGGAGCAGCCTTTGCCCCCTGGTCCCATAGGCACAGAACGATCACAGCGTGCAGACCGAGGCCCAGAGCCAGGCCCCCTCCGGCCATCCCATCGACCTGCCCCCCCAGTCCAGTTTGGCACTAGTGACAAGGTCTGCATGGGCTGCATCTGAGTATCCTGGGTTGGAGAGAAGGGATGGGCTGTAGGTGGGACATCGAGGACACAGACCTGAATCATGGGACCATCTCTTCCCACATCACTGTCACAGGACTCAGACTTGCGCCTAGTGGTAGGAGACAGTTTAAAAGCAGAGAAGGAGCTCACAGCATCAGTCACTGAGGTAGGTGAAGAATGAGAGTTGGATGGGAAGGCCAGAGATTTCTAGAGAAGATTCATGAGAGTGATAGGGGCTTCCAGGGTGTCAGACAACAGTCTTGACAGTCTTTTTCTACCCAGGCCATTCCCATATCCCGAGACTGGGAGCTGCTCCCCAGTGCTTCTGCCTCAGCTGAGCCGCAACCCAAGAGTGTAGTTTCTGGGCATTGTGGCCCAGAGGCCAACTCGTCAGGCCAACGCCTGTACCCAGAAGTCTTCTATGGCAGCCCAGGGCCTCCCAATTCCCAGGTAAGCCTTATTTTTCATCTCGTGCCCTTTGAGTCAATGAATAATCATTCTTTTTAGCCTTCTGTCACTTAAAACACAAGTGTATACACCACCACCTTTTTCTTTCTGATCATTCCATTTTTATTTTTACTTCAGTGGTTAGGATGAGTTGGGTGGTATTTTTGTCTTTATAGCATGTTTGACTTTCCATCACTGGGATAATAGCTCTAAGAAAACAAGGGAGGAAAAAAACATTTTTCATGGTTTTAAAGGTTCCATTCCATTGTGGCAGGTGCAGGACAAGGCACAACAGAGCACCTTCTTTCATGAGGATCAGCAAACAAAATGCCTGCAATACTGGGTTTTTCTCCTTTTTATTCCAGCCAGGTCTCTATCCCAAAAGATGCTATTACATAAATTCAGGGCAGGTCTTAGCTAATCCTCTGTAAATGCCCTCACTGAATACCCAGAGGTGTGCTTCTCTGCTCTGTTAGGTACCTCCAATGCAATCAAGTAGACAAGATTAACTGTTAACTCAGGGTGAGGGATCCAACCCAAGAGCTTATATATACTAGGGATACTGTACCAGTGAGCTGAATCTCTAGCCCCAGGTGAGCTTTTCTTGACCCAGAGGCAGTAGAGCTGTATTTCAAACTTGCTTTTCTCTTGCAGGTCTCTGGGGGAGCCATGGACTCTCAGTTACATCCAAACAATGGAGGCTACCGCCCTGGGACACCCTCACTACACCCTTACAGGTAAAATTAGATGCCTGTGGATCTCAGAAAGAAGTAGAGATGGGCTGGGAAGGGGCTCAGTGGTAGAGCGCTTGCCTTGCATGCCTGAGGTCCTGGGTTCGATTCCTCAGCACCACATAAGCAAAAAAAAAGCCGGGAAGTGGCGCTGTGGCTCAAGTGGTAGAGCGCTCGCCTTGAGCTGAAGAGCTGAGGGACAGCGCCCAGGCCCAGAGTTCAAGCCCCACAGCCGGACCCAAAAAAAAAAAAAAGAAGTAGAGATAAGTTTTAGGGGGATAAGGAAAGAATTTTAGGGTACCAAAAGCTGTGGACTTAAGCATTATTGCTCATGCTAAATAAAAAAGTAATTGGGGCTGGGAAGGTGGCTCAGTGGTAGAGCGCTTGCCTTGCATGCATGAGGCCCTGGGTTCGATTCCTCAGCACCACATAAGCAAAAAGAAAAAAGCCAGAAGTAGTGGTGTGGCTCAAGTGGTAGAGTGCTAGCCTTGAGCTGAAGAGCTGAGGGACAGCGCCCAGGCCCAGAGTTCAGGCCCCACGACCAGACTCCCCCCCCCAAAAAAAAAAAAAAAAAAAAAAGGTAAATAATTGGCTTCTTGACATATCTCTCCCAATTTTTTTTCAGGTCACAACCCCTATATCTACCCCCTGGCCCAGCCCCTCCTTCAGCACTGCTCTCTGGGGTAGCTCTCAAGGGCCAGTTTTTGGATTTCTCAGCACTGCAAGCCACAGAGCTGGGGAAGTTGCCAGCTGGAGGAGTTCTCTACCCTCCGCCTTCCTTCCTCTATTCTCCTGCTTTCTGCCCCAGCCCTTTGCCTGAGCCACCTTTGCTTCAGGTAATTAGAGGTGGGCAGCTGTTGGGTTTGGGGAAGAATGTCCCACGCTGGTGGCTCATGCCTGTAAGCCTCAGCTGCTCAGAAGACTGAGATCTGATGATCATGGTTCAAAGCCAGACAGGGCAGGAAAGTCCATGAGACTTACCTCCAATTAACCATCAGAAAAACAAAAGTGCTGTGGCTCAAAGTGGTAGAGTGCTAACCTTGAGCAAAAGAGCTCAGGGACAGTGCCCAGGCCCTGAGTTCAAGCCCCACAACTGAAGACAAAAAAAAAAAAAAAAGTTTGAGGGGGAGGTCATCCTTTTTCTCATTCCCTAACAGGTACGCCAAGATCTGCCATCCCCTTCTGATTTTTACTCTACTCCTCTGCAGCCTGGTGGACAAAGTGGCTTCCTTCCTTCAGGGGCCCCTGCCCAGCAGGTACCTTGTCGTTTCCCATGCCCTTCATTTTCTCCATCCCATTTCTCTCCACCTCAGCATGCTCATTTGGATTTCTTGTTACAGATGCTTCTACCCATGGTAGACTCACAGCTGCCTGTGGTGAATTTTGGCTCCTTGCCGCCAGCACCACCACCTGCCCCACCCCCCCTTTCTCTGTTACCTGTGGGCCCTGCACTGCAGCCCCCCAGCCTGGCTGTGCGGCCCCCTCCTGCTCCTGCTACTCGGGTGCTGCCTTCACCTGCCAGGCCCTTCCCCCCAAACTTGGGGCGAGCTGAGGTACCTTGAGATGCTGCAGAACTCATGGGTAGAGATTGCAGAGTTCAAGATGAATAGTTGAGGAGGAGGGAGTGGTGGGGGAGGCAGGAAGATCTGGAGTTGAAGGCCAACCTGGTCCTTCGTAGAGAAACCCTGTGACAAGGGCGTTGGGAATGTGAATGAGAAGCATGAGATCTCAAATTTTTTCTTGTTAGCTACACCCAGTGGAACTAAAGCCGTTCCAGGATTATCGAAAGCTGAACAGCAATCTCGGGGGACCTGGGTCATCACGTACACCCCCAGCTGGAAGGTAAACTAAATAGATTTGCCGGAAGGGCTTTCTAGGAGCAGGTCCTAGACTTGCCTTGAAACACCTTTCTTCCTCCCTTAGGTCCTTCTCTGGTCTCAGTTCCCGTCTCAAGGCCCCACCTTCCACTTACAGCGGAGTATTCCGCACCCAGCGCATTGACCTCTACCAGCAGGTGAAGGAGAAACTCATGATCTCTAGAATCAAAAGTTACCACCTGAGTTCTTGACAGACCACTGTGATTTTCTTTTTCTGTATGTACCTATCTCTTAGGCATCCCCACCAGATGCTCTGAGATGGATGCCGAAGCCTTGGGAGAGGACAGGGCCACCTTCCCGAGAAGGGCCTTCCCGTAGGGCAGAGGAGCCTGGGTCCAGAGCTGACAAGGAACCTGGATTGCCCCCACCCCGCTGAGGGAGGTCCCCATCCCCCCTACCCCCGGGGCTTGTATATAGATTATAAATATATAAGGGGGAAAGGGGTGGGTGGGGAGGGGTTGTGGGGCTAGAGCCTCACTTTCCCTCCTCCCCCTTCCCCTGATCCCCTGTCCCTGGGGCCGTTTGTTAAAAAAGAATAATAAAAGGATTTAAAAAAAAAATCCAAAATTATTTGGGGAATGGGGTAGTTGGTTATAATGTCATTGTGTGCCATACTGGTTGGTGATTTGAAACTGAGAACCTTACATTCATTCTCCCCCACTTAAACCACACCTTCAGTTCTGGCTTTTTTTTTTTTTTTTTGAGCCAGTCCCTGAGCTTTTTGCTCAAGGCTAGTGCTCTAGCACTTGAGCCACAATGCCACTTCTGGCCTTTTCTGAGTAGTGTATTAGAAATGAGAGTCTGGGCCATTTGAAGCCAGCCTGGCTTCAAACCAATGATTCTCAGACCTCAGCCTTCTGAGTAGCTAGGATTACAGGTATGAGCTACCGGCACCAGTAGTTATGGCTTTTTTGCTGGGTATTGGAGATGAGTCTCATTGATTTGTCTACCTGGGCTGGCTCCAAAGAGCACAGCCTCCATAGTACCTAGGATTGCAGCATGAGCCACCAGCACCCAACAGTTGTAGTATCTTTATAGCATGGTGCTATGGTAATAGCTATAGTTGGTTTATATGTGTGCGCTGGTCCTTGGGTATTGTCCCTGAGCTTTTGTGCTCAAGTCTAGTGCTCTATCACTTGAGCCACAGCTCCACTCTAGGCTTTTGGGGTAGTTAATTGGAGATGAGTCTCATGGACTTAACTGCTTGAACTGGCTTCAAACATCCTCAGATTTCAGCCTCCTGAGTAGCTAGGATTGTTATAATTGCAGTGATTATAACACACTGCCTCAAAACTTTTATTGGACCGGGGCTGGGAAGGTGGCTCAGTGGTAGAGTGCTTGCCTTGCATGCCAGAGGCCCTGGGTTTGATTCCTCAGCATCACATAAGAAAAAAGCCGGGGGGCTGGGAAGGTGGCTCAGTAGTAGAGCGCTTGCCTTGCATGCATGAGGCCCTGGGTTCGATTCCTCAGCACCACATAAGCAAAAAGAAAAAAAGCTGGAAGTGGCACTGTGGCTCAAGTGGTAGAGCGCTAGCCTTGAGCTGAAGAGCTGAGGGACAGAGTTCAGGCCCCACGACCCGACCCCCAAAAAAAAAAAAAAAAGCCGGAAGTGGCACTTAGAGCGCTAACCTTGAGCTGAAGAGCTGAGGGACAGCGCCCAGGCCCAGAGTTCAGGCCCCATGACCGGACCAAAAAAAAAAACCAATTTCATGGCTGGGGGGCTGGGAAGATGGCTCAGTGATAGAGTGCTTGACTTGCATGCATGAGGCCCTGGTTCGATTCAAAAAAAAAGCCAGAAGTGGCTCTGTGGCTCTGTAGCGCCAACCTTGAGCTAAGAGCTAAGGAACATGATTGAAAAAAAAAAAAAAAAACTTTTATTGGACCATAAGCTTCGTAGATTGTTTTGGGCTAGGCAAGTGTCAAAACAGCTGGTTACTAAGCTACAGGCAGTCCTCATGGCTTCCTTAAAGCAATGCCTGGAATCTGTGGGACACAGAAAAGGGTAGAATTCTACCTGCCAATCTGTCACATAGTTTCTCTTAACTGTTCAGTTATTAGGCCTTACATGTCCTGAGCCAGTATTCAAGATATTTGGTGGAAACTGCAAAGCTCATGAATGAGCTGTTCTTAAAACATGTTCTGCTACAGCTGCACTGATGGCTCACGTGTATAAACGTAGCTTCTCAGGACGCTGAGATCTGAGCGACATGTTTCAATCAGCAGAAAAGTCTGTGAGACTCCTATCTCCACTTAACCACTCAAAAACCAAAGTGGCACTCTGGCCTTGAGTAAAAACAGCCAAGGAACACCACCTAGGCCCTGAGTTCAAGCCCCAGGACTAGCACAAAAAGTTCCAGATCAGAGCAAAACAAATCAAGGCTCTGACTACTGGCACAAAAAAATAATTTGCCCAAAAGGAAAAAAAAAAATGTTCTATGTCTTATTCCTCTAGCACTAAAGGGGGGGGCTACATAGACTAGGTCCTAAGTGGTAAAGCTTGCCTTTTTCCATAGGTGCCATGGCTACACTAAAAGTACATGGGTCTGCACTGCTCAGAAATGTTTCCTATCCTGGTATATATATGGAAGGTTTTATGTTTTGTTTGGGAGGAAGGGGCAGTACTGGTGTTTGAACTTAATCCCTTGTATTTACTAGGCACCAGCACTTGAGCTACACTCAACCCTTTTGCTTTATTTTTCAGATAGGGCCTGAACCTTGATTCTAAGGCCAGTGTAACTGGAATTAGAGGTTCTCCATCATGTCCAGCTTTGCTAATTGAGATGCTTTTCTCCTGAGATTGGTTTTAAAACAGTAATTATCGAGGCTGGGAAGTTGGCTCAGTGGTAGAGCGCTTGCCTTGCATGCCTGAGGCCCTGGGTTCGATTCCTCAGTACCACATAAGCAAAAAGAAAAAAGCTGGGAGTGGTGCTGTGGCTCAAGTGGTAGAGTGCTAGCCTTGAGCTGAAGAGCTGAGGGACAGTGCCCAGGCCCAGAGTTCAGGCCCCACGACCGGACCCAAAAACAAAACAAAAAAAAAACAAAACAGTAATTATCTTGGTCTGTACTTCCCTAGTAACAGGTTACAGTCATATGCCTCAGTGCTCAGTCCTCAAAGGTTTTTATAAAATAATTGAAACTGAACCGTTTACAAGCTTATATGCTGAACATGACCATCTGAACATGATTGCTTGGAGGTAGTACAAGCTGACTGGTACTTGAGCAAGCCAAGTTCACAGAAGAGAGGAATCCAGACAAGACCATGTGGAGGCAAGAGCCAGGAAAATCCGACTTTATTTCTTAAATACTGTGAGGGGAAATGGTCCCCTGGTGAATAAGGGCCATTGAGCAAAGAGCTAGGGATCATCAGCAAAGGCCCGATGGGTATTAGGGAAGCGCTGGGGGGTGTAGTTGGGGTCTTCCTGCAGTCGTTTTTGTATATCAGACCGGAGCTAGAAAAAGAGAATAAGCAGGTTGAAGGTCTAGCCAAACCCCATAATCCCAGCAAGCACACAAAACCATCCCTCAGGAACTAATACTTCCCCCACCAGCCATACCGTCAACAGCCCAAAATAGCACCAACTGAGCCTTCCCAGATGCCATAAGGGAAAAGTGTTCTCTGAAAGGATGCAGAGAAAAGGGACCCTGGCCCAACCCCTCCCACTAGACCATCCCTATTCTGCTAAAAGGTGGGGGGCACCTGCTGCCTGTAGCTCTCCTGAACCTCTGGTGCCTCCAGGTCCCGGCTCAGGCTCTCAGGGCTCGTCAGGGGCCTAGCTCCGGCTGCCTTAGCTGCCCGGCTCACAGCCTCTGAGAGAAGCAGCTGGGGGCCCTCACCCTGCATCGTCTGGGGGATAGGGGATTGGGAGGGAAAAGAGGATCGATGTCAGATCCAGTGCCACCACCCAGTTCATCCTCTCCATGAGTCAACCGCTGAGTGTCTACACTAATGGAGATAAGGGAAACAGCCCACACATGGGTTTTCACTTTTTGGCAATGCTAGGGTTTGAACTTGGGGTCTTGTGCTTGCTGATCAGACCCTCTACTACTCAAACCACACCCTTGGCCCTTTTTGCTTTAGTTATTTTTGAATAGGTTTTTTTTCACTCTTTGCCCAGGCCAGCCTGGACAACAATCCTATTTACACTTTCAGTATATCTAGGATGACAAGTGTACACCATCATCCACAACTCTTACTGGTTGAGATGGGGACACTCAAACCTCTTGCCTATGAGGGTCTTAAATCATAATCCTCCCCATTGCCACCTCCCACATGTGACTTTGACAGCAAAAATGTCTTCCTGTCTCACAAAACCCAGAGATGTTTGGATATGCTGAATCTGAAGCAAGAGGACATGGATCACTCATACAGGATATGGAGCTAATTTATCCATAGGAAGAAGCCTACCATGAAAGGAAATAGGCTTAAGTCACTTAGGGGATAAGGCATCTAAGGGACTGACTGCTAGCAATATCTGGACAAAGTTCTGTGTGGTTAGGCACCAACTACAAGCCCCAAAAGGTTTCCTCATTAAATGAAAAGAGTGAACTAGAAAGTGCTCCTTCCACTCTAGTTTGATTCTAAGCGTAACAAGGGAACTAGAAAGGGCTTCTCAAGGAAGTGAGAAACCAACCTTGCGTCTCTTGGCAGGCATACCGCTGAGGTAGGCGTCACTCAGGGGTGGCTGGGGTTTCACCTTCCGCTGACTCTGAATGTCCTGCTGGATAATAGGGACCCATTCCTGTTAAGGAAAAGACCAGAAAGTAATTCCCACAACTTACAGCTGCCTCAACCCAATGGTTCATCTTATGCCACTTACTGGTGGGACTGCAGCTGCCCAAGGTTCTGTCTCAGTTGAAGCCCCATCTTGTTCATCGCGGGAGCCACCCTCAGGAGCAGGGGGTGGGCCTCGGGACATGGCCTCTTCTGCTGTTGTTCCAGGGGCTGGGGAAGCATTCTCCCGCTGGGAGTCAGATGGCAGGAAGATCCAGACTTCAGAATTCTTAGCCTCCAGCCCTTCTTCCCCCAGCCCTCCAAATTCCATATCCGGTCCCTCAACCTCTTCCTGGTACCTGAGGTTCAGGGGAAGTTCTTTCTGCTCCCTGAACTTCCATTGGCTCCTCCGAAAGTGGCTGTGAGAATGGATCAGAAAAAGAGAACAAAACAAAGCCCACTCAGATCTCTGTCCAAGGTCTCTCAAGTCTCCTGACCCCAGAGCTCACCAGGTCTCTTACCTGAGGTGGGTCACCAATCCTGCGAACATATCTGAGAATAGCATCAGGGCCCACAGGCATGTGCTCCAAGACTACCTGCAGTCTCAGTCCCATCATAGTGGTCAGCCAGCTCACCAAAGACGGATTCACGCCACGAGACATACGACGCTAAGGGTCAGGAAGGAGATGTGAAACACACAACCTCAACCACCTTCCACAATTGATCAGATCCAGGGTAATGGGTGGCAGTTGGGAGAAGAAAACTGGAAACTGTGTAGGACACAGAAGGAAAGGATAGGGACCTAGAGTTGAGTGGTGCTTACAATTCGGCCATTAATGACAGCAGCAAGCTCCATCTGCTGTCCCCCCAAGCAGTGCAGGTTCAGGGCCAAGCATTCAAACAGACCCTGGTTACACAACTCCAACAACCGGGCTCCAAATCCATTGTCTGTAATCCAGATATAAGAAGGGAACATTGATGCCTTGCATACCAACATATCCCCACTCACCCTGGCCTGGTCAGCCCCTGACCTGTGCAATGTAGCACATGAGCAGCAATGCTATTAAATTGCTCCTGGAGAAATTCTAGATTTGTCCGGATGATGTCCACACCTGGCTGAACCTGCACCAAAGACTGAAAGATAAAGCATACAGTAAGAACTGGGCACTGGTGGCTCATGTCTATAATCCTAGCTACTCAGAAGGCTGAGATCTGAGGATTGTGGTTCAAAGCCAGCCTGGGCAGAAAAGTCTGTGGGACTCTTACCTCCACTAAACTTCCAACAAAGCCAGAAGTGGAGCTAAGGCAGCTCAGGGACAGTGCCCAGGACTGGCACAAAGGGGCGGGGGGGGGGGGGGGGGGGGGAGGCAGCAGGGCACTGGTTTCTCACAACCTGAATTCCTAGCTGAGATCTGAGGATCATGGTTTAAAGCCAGCCCAGGCAAGAAAGCCCCATCAGACTTTTTTTTGTGGGGCCTGAACTCTGGGCCTGGGTGCTGTCCTTCAGCATTTCAGCTCAAGGCTAGCGCTCTACCACTTGAGCCACAAGCACTACTTCCGGCTTTTTGTTTATGTGGTGCTGAGGAATCGAAGCCAGGGCTCACGCATGCAAGGCAAGCACTCTACCACTAAGCCACATTCCCAGCCCCACCCCTCCCTTTATTTTTTTTTTGTGGTCCCAGATGGGGCTTGAACTCAGGGCCTAAGTGCTGTCCCTGAGCCATTTTTACTCAAGGTTAGCCATCTCCCACTTTGAGCCAGAGTGCCACTTCCAGTTTTCTGGTGGTTAACTGGAGATAAGAGTCCCAAAGACTTTCCTGCCCGAGCTGGCTTTAAACTGAGATCCACAGATCTCAGCCTCCTGAGTAGCTAGGATTATAGGTGTGAGCTACCATTGCCCGGCTTCCATAAGACTCTAATCTCTGGGCTGAGAATGTGGCTTTAGTGGTAGAGTGCTTTCCTAGCATGCATAAGGCCCTGGCTTTGATTCCTCAGCACCACATAAACAAAAAGCCAGAAGTAGTGCTGTGACTCAAGTAGTAAAGTGTCATCCTTGAGCAAAAGAAGCTAAGGGACGGTGCCTAGGCCCTGAGTTCAAGCCCCAGGACTGGCCAAAAAAAAAAAAAAGACTCATCTCCAATTAACCACTAAAAGGTCAGAACTGGAGGTATAGGTATGTCAAGTGGTAGAACTCTAGCCTTGAGAGGAAAAAGTCTAAAAGGCAGGGACAAGTACTAATATGTGTGCACATGTGTACGTACACACACACACACACACACACACACACACACACACACACACACACACACACACACACACACACACACACACACACACACACACACACACACACACACACACACACACGGAAGTGGAAGAGGAGGCAGCAGAGAACATTAACTTCTCTACCCAAACCCAGGACAGGAGAAGAATAGAGAAAGCTTACTCACAAAACTCTCCCGCACATATTCTTCCAGCCCGGTGATCAGTGTGTGGGTTGCCATCTATGGAGGAACATCACAGTTTAGGCTTAGGCCTCTGTTCTCAAGAGACTCCCCCACCGCCTCCCCACTAACAAGTCCAGGGCTGAGTTGGTACAGCTGTAGCTTTAGCTGACAGAAAAGTAGAATTGGGAATAAGGAACAAAAGGTGTGGAGGGTAAGAGCTCTTGGGATCCCAGGCTTCATTTACCCGAATGTTACTAGGTGTGGGCTCCTGGCCACCTAGGTAGTGCTGGTGGAAGAAGGATCGCAATTGGGGCTGGAGCCGCTGTAGTGGCTGGAAATGCCCATGGAGAAGCATCACCACATCCACCATGGAGAAATTCTGGCACAGAAGAGAGAGCAAGGCCCCAAAGAATCCTGCAGACAGGGGCAGAAATTGGTCTTTACCAGCTAGTTGCTCACCGGCCACCAGCCCATCAGCCTCATTCCATGTTGCTAATAAAGAAAGGCTACCTAGGGGTAACACTGTTCAAAAAGAAATGTGTTTATGTAACTGTAACCCTTGTATTTCACCTTTACAAACAGAAAGAAAAAAAGAGAGACAGAGAGAAAGAAAGAGAGAGAGAGAGAGGGAGGGAGGGAGAGATAAGAAGAGAGAAAAAAAAGAAGGGAGGGAGGAAGGAAGGAAGGAAGGGAAGAAGGAAGGAGGGATGGAGAGAGAAGCTATCTATATTCCCTAGCTGCCCCTTCCTGGAGAAGACAAAACACCCAATTTTTGCTTACCGAGGGCACCATCAGCCCCTGGCTCAAAGATGTTGCTGGATCCACTGAGGCGCTGGATGAAGGCAGCAATACTTTCACTGCTGCCAGCCCGAGCCCCCAAGGAGCCCAGAAGGGAACTCAGCACACCTTGCACCACCGAGGTGAAAAACTCTGGTGGCAGGCTCTCGGGGCCTAGACTTCCAGGACTCCCTGTACCACCAGAAGGGGACCCTGGTGGGGGTGTGGTCTGCTGCTCTGGGGCTGGGGGTGGGGGTGGAGGAGGAGGAGGAGGGGGCGGAGGGGCAGTCTGTGTTGCCTGGCAAACAGAGAAAGAATAAAGAAAACAAGGTGAGAATCAGGACAAAGACATAAAATGGCATCAAGAGGGGACAAACAACAAGGGCCCAAGAAAAGGGCCACAGAGTTATATTTTGGTTTTTATAAAAACAAGACTCTTATTATCCATTAGTAATGGCATACGGCTGTAATCCCATTACTTGTCAAACTGAGGCAGGATTTTGAGTTTGAGGCCATCCAAAGCTATACAGTAAAATCCTGTCAAAAAAAAAAAAAAAAAGCCACAAAACTGAAACACTTGGGGCTGGGAAGGTGGTTCAGTGGTAGAGCGCTTGCCTTGCATGCATGAGGCCCTGGGTTTGATTCCTCAGCACCACATAAACAGAAAAAGCCGGAAGTGGCTCTGTGGCTCAAGTGGTAGAGCGCTAGCCTTGAGCTAAAGAGCTGAGGGACGGTGCCCAGGCCAAGGGTTCAGGTCCACAACCGACAAAAAAAAAAAAACCAAAACCTGAAACACTTGTGGATAGCTATTAAACAAGAGTGATTCTCTAAATGGGTTAGATCAGAAAGCTACTAGCTACTAAACTTCTTCATATCCCAGAGGATTCAGAATCACTGAACTACTACGTCCCTTGCCTTGGTATTTCATTAGGAGCTGTAATCCAGTGGTTAGAGAATGCCAATACAGTACCAGTCTAGGCTGGATGAAGAAACAAAGGTGAAGTAAAGGGTAAGCCAGCCACTCACCTGCAAGAAATCGGTCATGCCCTGGAGAAAGGCAGGGACTCCAGGCATTGCCACAGTGATGGTGGGAGAAGCCACGCCAGGCCCACCAGCCCCAGGCCCTGTAGGCCCCAGCAGGTTCCCCAAGAGCTGAGAGAACTGAAGATCAGCCGTGGAGGGCTGAGGTGGTGGAGGCTGAGCAGGCCCCCCAGGAGCAGGGCCAGCTGTGGTAGCTGTGTTGGTGGTACCAGCACTAGCTGAAGCTGTGGCAGGGGCAGGAGATGGAGCCATTCCTGGAGTCCCCTGAGCTGTCAAGAATCAAAAGAAAGGTCAAACCTGAAGAAAACCCAGACACTGTAGTAGCCTCATGCTGGTATTTCTAGCAGAAGAGCAAAAATGAAGAAATTATGAAAGGAATGGAGAAGTACCAGTGAACAGGCTAGGAAGGAACCTTCAGACTTGAGATGGGGAAAGATGACAACTCACCCACAAGGACAGGCTGCATAAGAAGCTGCCCCACAAGGCCGCTCACCATCTGGGCCAAGGAAGTATTCGTACCAACCCCAGAGCCCTGCTAGGGGAGACAGAGGATTTCAGTCCTGCTCTTTTCCATGACCTATCCAGAACTGCTCCTCACTGAACTCCCCGACATTCTTGCTCACCATAGCTCCAGAGCCTGGGGGCCCTCCGGGATGGGAAGGTCGAGCCTGTGGAGGGGTGGGCCGGGCAATCACTACCCGGGTGGGAGCCGTTGGGAAGCCTGGGACCTGCTGGCCTGTGAATGGTAGAAGATGAGAGAGCCCAAAAGGGCTGAGGAATAGGCCCTTACTTGCTAGTCAACAATACCCACCACCATGGACTATGTCCCACCCCCAGGTCTCCCCTCCTTTCAGGTCATTACCTGTGGCAGCGGAGGCAACAGCTGCCACCATGGCCTGGTGAGTGATCTGGTGGGCGACGGCGTGCATGAACTCAGGGGACAGGGAGGGCAGCTGGATGAGGGTGGAGCCTGGGGGGCGGGTCTGATGTAACCTTGAACCTGGACCCCTTCAATCCACCCACTCAGCCCTACCCCTTTCTCTAACCCGGAGCTTGACCTGCTTTAGTGCCCTCATTCTTACCAAGGGTTTGGCCATGACCGGAGGGTCCTAGAGGGCCAGTGGGAGCACTCGGGACACCACCAGGCTGTGTGCCAGCATCTGGGCAGGAAGACAGAGAGAACAGCCCTGAGACCATATCCTCCTGAGATCAGCCATCCTTCAAGCTCTCTCTCACTCCCTTGATCAGAAAGCCTGCCTTTCCCTCCATCTACAAGGTGTTTGCTTCATGAAAACAAAACTCCAGGGTTTAGCCAGGCGCCGGTGGCTCACACCTATAATCCTAGCTGCTCAGGAGGCTCAGATCTGAGGATCTCCGCTCAAAGTCAGCCTGCAAGAAACTCCGTGAGACTCTCTTATCTCCAATAAACCACTAGAAAACCGGAATTGTGGCTGTGGCTCAAGCGGTAGAGAGCTTGTCATGAGCTGAAGAGCGCAGGGATAGCGCCCAAGCCCAGAGTTGAAGCCCCACAACCAATCAAAACAACAACAACAACAACAAAACACACACACACACACACACAAAACTCCAAGGCTGGAAAGGTGGCTCAGTGGCCTCAGGTGCATGAGGCCCTGGGTTCAATTCCTCAGCACCACATAAACAGAAAAGGGCAGTGGCACTGTGGCTCACATGGTAGACCACTAGCCTTGAGCTAAAGATCTGAGGGACAACACCCAAGCCCAGAGTTCAAGCCCCATGACCAACAAAAAAAAAAAAAAAAAAGAAAAGAAAGAAAACAAAACTAAGAGCAAAGTAATCCCCTTTTGCTCCTCTCCTCTCTCCTCCCTCAGGCCAACCACTAGCACTGGCCTTCTCTTTGCCCCTCCCTTACTCCTTCATATCTCAGCATCAACTCCAGCCCCAACTCCAACACTAGTATGATGCTCTTTTCTTCCAGTCACTGACCAAACTCACCTTGAATATTCATATGCATCATGACCACAGGTTCCACGCTCTGGTGGGAAATCCGGATGACCCTGGGGTGGCTGGTGGCTGGTGGAGGAGCTGGCCCTGGGGGGGATGCCCCCTCAGTGGAGGACTCAACAGTGGTAGAAGACGGAGCCAGAGATGATGCCTGGCCAGAACCAGGGGTAGGCACCTCCACACTGGGAGCTGGAGGGGGTCGAGTTCCATTCCCTGTCATGGTCACAGTGGTCCCCACATTGATCTGGAAAAAGGCAGGCAGGTAGAAATGAGAAAAACAAAATGTCCTAATTCAGAGTACCCTACATCCTTATCGCCATGTTTCAAAAGTCTTCTCCGGGCTGGGAAGTTGGCTCAGTGGTAGAGCGCTTGCCTTGCATGCCTGAGGCCCTGGGTTCGATTCCTCAGCACCACATAAGCAAAAAAAAAGCCGGAAGTGGCGCTGTGGCTCAAGTGGTAGGGAAGTAGCCTTGAGCTGAAGAGCTGAGGAACAGTGCTCAGGCCCAGAGTTCAGGCCCCACAACCGGACCAAAAAAAAAAGTCTTCCTCTTTGATCTTTTCCAAGTCCAGCAGCCACTCTGATCAATCCACCATACCCCACTCCATTCTCCCCTGGCTCAGCTTCCCCCAGCCCACCTGAATGGGAATGGCTGCCTGCTGGAGCACCATTGGGGTGGTGTAGTGAGACATGGGCCGAACCACATGCAGGTGCCGTGGGGGTGCACAGGCCAAATTGCAGCGCAGGTCAGACAGTGCCACAAATGTGTTCCCCAGCAGCCGCAGACTCTCCCCAACCAGGTTGATCAACCTCTGGTCTTCTTCACGGCCTTCATGCTGTGTCCCAGATCAAACACAGAAAAGCAGGAAATATTAAGCTGGAATTCACCTTACTGAAAATGTTAAACTGAATTCTACCTCACTAACAGCAGTAATAATGCCATGTTCTATAAGGTTTCAACATATCCTTGGAATTTCTGCACAAACCAAAGCTTAGCAGGTAAATTCTACTTAATACACATAAAGAATTTTGTACTAAAATGAACTGAACAAGGGATAGTTGAGTCATCATCTACGAATCTTCTTTATGTTTCAAATTTCCTACACAATTCAAGGACGAAGACACTGGGTATGGCCAAGACTTATCATCTGCTCTGTATGGGAGGAAAGATCACATGCCTATCTAGAGGGATTTTGTTGTGACACTAAGGGAGTAAATGATTATCTGCATCTCACCCTGTTCTGAGTAGTGGAGGGAAGGGGATATAAAGGAAAGAAAGGAGAAGTGATGAGAGTCTTGAGAGGCTCACATTGTTGTTGTAATCTGTGGTGGCAGCAGCACCCAGAACCTCATAGTAGCGCTGCAGGAAGGGCTGAAGGCGGCTCTCCAGTCGCTGCAGCTCCTGGAGCACCTCAACATATTCCGCAGGCGAAGGATGACTGTGGACAACCCCAAGGGCAATGAGCCAAGGCTGCCCTCAGAGCGCCCACCTCATAGTCCACAGGTGCCCTATCTACCCTCCTGGATTATAACTCAACCTTTTGGATTAGTAGAGCTTATTTTTTCCTCTCACACATGGGAAAATAAAAAACTGCTCCCATCTTCCCCCTACAATCCCATGCTGACAACACAAAGAAATGGGAAAGAGGGTTGGGAAGGTGGCTCAGTGGTAGAGCGCTTGCCTTGCATGCCTGAGGCCCTGGGTTCGATTCCTCAGCACCACATAAGCAAAAAGAAAAAAGCCGGAAGTGGCGCTGTGGCTCAAGTGATAGAGCACTAGCCTTGAGCTGAAGAGCTGAGGGACAGCGCCCAGGCCCAGAGTTCAGGCCCCACAACTGGACCCAAAAAAAAAAAAAAAAAAAGAAATGGGAAAAAATTTTGATCAGGCTCAGGAGACACAATTTGGATTTCTTTGTCCTAGAAAGAGCAATGCTCTGTTCAGCTGCCAGTCCTAACTTCATTTACCTACACCAACAGGCCCACCTGGCCTCATAGTACTAACTCTACAATGAACCCTGAGCAATGCTTCCCCTCCTCCCACAATCCCTCCCCTGGTCTTCATGTTGCACTCAGGAACCCCCAAATCCCCAAAGATTCCCTTTTTATCTTACTTGGGTGCATTAGTCTCTGGGGCAGGTGTTGGGCCCACTGGGGCAGGGCCAGAAGGGGTGAGTTCCGGGCTCTGGGCTGGGGCACGCTCCTCTGTTTCTTCTGCCTCCATGGGCTCCCGTGGAGGTGCTTCACTTTCAACTGATTCTGATGTCTGCGAGCTCAGGGATACTAGCTCTGGGGCCATGGTTGGCGTCTGAGGAGGTAGCTGACTGGGTTGTGCTTGGGATCCCCCTCGACACTAAATGTGAAAAGAGTCAGGAGAACAAAGACAGAATAAGATTGCTGCCATGAATTACTCAGACTACAGGAGTCAAGAGTGAAGATGGTACTCTAACTGGATTCCTCAAAGGCAGGACTCAATATTCGTGTATTTGATTCCCCAGCAACAATATTATGACTGTCAATATTAGATACACAATAAATGTCTGTAATATCTGTAAATGAATCAGTAACGAGTAAGGACTGTGTATTCCTAACCTCAACCACAAGGAAAGGCCATACGTTGCAGCCCCAACACAAACCAGTAAAATGAGGACACACTGATACTGAGCATGACAGTAAAGAAATAAAAATTTGTTGAATGTGCTTAACATGATGGTACACATCTGTAATCTCTACACTCAGGAGGCTGACACAGGAAGATTGTAAGTTTAAGGCGAACCTGAGCTACATAGTGAGACTCTGTCTCAAAAGAAACAAAAAATTGTGAGTGCTTCTTTCATTGAAGAGATTCTATGAAGTTATCTGACAAGTTTGAAACAAAATCCCAGATACCAGGCATCACAAGTGCTGGCAAGGACAAGATAGCCTCACAAAGAAACATTTTCTGCTTAAGAGAACTGTAAAACAGAGACCAGATTAGAAAAACAAAAATGTGCCCCCAAAACCCAGGCCATGAGTAAAGAGGAGCAAAGGAAAAATCCCATCTAGATTTGCTCACTTACCTCCATCCGGGATAGTAAGGTCTGTATATCCCTTATCATGTGTTGAGCCATCACCAGCCGAACCCGGGGCTCACTCTACAATATGAGATGGATGATCAGCGTGGGTTTGAGATAAAAGCCATGAGTTTTACCACCTACTAAACCAGATCCCAGGCATCTCCTCAGCCAGGTCCTCCCCCATCTGATGGCCTCCTTCTCCCAGATCCCCTTCCCTGACCCTCCCAGGCCCCTCGATACCTGAATCGGGGCCTGTTCCATGTTGATGTGAACATCCACAGCAGAGCCGTCACTCTGGGGAAAGGGTAAGGGAAGTTGTTCTGGGAGAAGCCAGATACTAAGGCCTCCATAATTCCAACTCAGTCTCTGAAATCCCAACTCTTTTTCTTAAAAGGTAGGCCAATATCAGACTAAAGAACTCTGCAAATCCAGTCTAAATACAGATATCTATCTTACGAGCCCCCTAATGCTACCACAAGCAAACCTATCCTGCCCTTTCCCACAAATTTCACACATATGGGACCCAGGCTTACAGGAAGATTGAAGGTTCCAACCATGACATAGCTGTTGGCATTCCGGTCATGAACAGAGGCCCCAGGGCCCCGAGTACCAGGCAGGGGTCCACCACCATGGGTGGCTGAAGTAGATCCTGTTCCAGAAGATGCTCCAGAAGGGAGCTGAGTCTGAGGAGGAGCTCGTTCCACCAGGTGAATAACCTTTCCCCCAACATCTGCAGGGAAAAAAAAAAAAGGTAATACACCAAAATAGGTAAACTCAGAGCCTTCACTCATGTCTCTGGGACAATAGCCTCAGCCTCTGAACTGCCTCCCCACCCTCTTACTGTATTCCTGGAGCTTCTTATCATCTTGCAAAACTCGTCCCTGGTAGATGAGACGTTGTTTCTCAGATGGGATGCTGACAGAGGCAGCAATATGCTCCTTAAACTCTTTTACATTCATCTACAAGAAGGACAAGTGACACATAGTAATCAGAGAATGGAGGAAAAAGGGACACCTGTCTTGTGGAAACTGGGGTAAAAACCATTACAGAATCACTATCCAACTATTTACTAGGGGATTTAATTACTGTAAAAAGCCATTAACTGTGACAGTCCTGTCTGAATTCAAACAACAAACTTAATGAAACCAGCCAAATGCTGGTAGCTCACACTTGTAATCCTACCTACTCAGGAGGCTGAGATCTGAGGATTGTGGTTTGAAACCAACTCAAGCAGTAAAGTCCATGAGACTCTTTATTTCCAATTAACCAACCAAAAAAAGGGTGGGGGGAGCCAACTAACATTCCTTCTCTCTTCTGGTCTCCCAAGGACTATGTCTAGAGATACCAATAACGCCTTCCTAAACACAAAATAATATCAGGTCATTCCCTCTAATCTCAAAAATTAAAGTAATAGCAAAGAAAAGATGGAATGGGAATTTGTTTTTTTTTTGGGTCCAGTCGTGGGGCCTGAACTCTGGGTCTGGACGCTGTCCCTCAGCTCTTCAGCTCAAGGCTAGCGCTCTACCACTTGAGCCACAGCACCACTTCCGGCTTTTTTCTTTTTGCTTATGTGGTGCTGAGGAATCGAACCCAGGGCCTCAGGCATGCAAGGCAAGCGCTCTACCACTGAGCCATCTTCCCAGCCCCTGGAATGGGAATTTAAGCTAAGGAAAACAAATGAAAAAGGAAAAAAGAGAATAAAGTGCTGGGGGGAGGGGAAGAATATAACTTAGAACTAGAGAAAGAGAAGGGGATACTTTCTTACTAAACAAATGACTTGAGACATACCAGAATATTTACATGAATCTAATCACAAGAGCCTGTATGATCTTGCATATTTTAGAACACTACAAACTATTCAAAATTTGTCTACAAAAAATATAGGTATAAAGCCATAAATAACTATGTCCATGCTGCACTAAGTTCAAGAGATTCAAATTATTCCAGACATTATTCACTCTATTCAACAGTCTGTTAGGCTTCTACTTACATTATGATTTCTTGTCCCTTATAAACACATCATATACCTGTGATCAATTGGCTTATAAGAAATGATTCTTTGAGGTATTTATGCGATATTTCCTCTCCTTCAAAAGGCTGGAGCTGTGCCTTTGCCTCTAGACTGGTCAACCCATAATAAGAGCATGGATTCTTCCTTTCTTTGTATTTCCCTCTACACTGAGCTTTAGCAAGGTAAAGGCAGAACAAAATCTGCCTCATTCAACATTAACCATACCTTTTCAATCAACACAAAGCATCAGATGATGTTCTATCTAGAATATGAACAAATGAATCAATAAAAAGAACATTTAGGGACAAGAAAACTAAGGTCTTCTCTAAGGAAGAAAAAGGAAGAGCTAATGGATGTCTCCCAAAAATGCTGGGGTCTCACCTGGGCCCCTACAATAAAGGTCCGGGTCTGAGAGTCCAAGGTCTTCACCAGCACCTCCAGGCTGTCAGGCTCCTCCATAGCGGTACTGGTACTATCACTGGGCTCCATGACCCACAGCTCTCTAAGGAAGACCGAAGGGAGTCAGATCCGCTGTCGCTCGTACATTTTTTATACCCGGAAGCCTCCCCAGCCTGAATCTCCGCCCCAATACCTAAAAAGTTCCTGCTGCAAAAGCAAACACACTCACACCCGCCCTCATCCCTCGTCTGATTCCGGGGCACCGGGAGAGAAACACAAAGGGCAGGAGACCGACGACATAGGGAGCTAAAGGACGGGAAATGGGAGGGGCTCCACAATGCCAATCACAACAAGGGAGGGCTAGCTGGGCCGGGAATCAGGAAAGGAAGCGAGAGGAGTGTCATCACCAGTTACGAGGGCAAGGGCCGGAGAGCTCTCCCCGGACAACGCGAGAGCGAGGGTCGCGCCAGAATTGGCGCAGAGAGAAGCTTCGCGCACGCGCGCCACGCCCATCGAACCCGCCTAAATCACTAGGGACCCAGGACCGCACTCACTGGGGGCCAGGAACCGCTAGTTGGCGGGCCCCACTTCCGCCTTCCGTAGATGTTCCAGCAGAACGGCTCACCTCACACGCGGCCCGCCAAACTCACACACACACACACAAACACACACACCGAACACCACCACCACCCTGCGGCTCCGCCCCCGACTTCCCCGCCGTACCGTCACTTCCGGTCTCCCCTAACTTGCCACCGAAGGCCACTTCCGTTTCCCCGTTAGTATTGGGGCTCTCAAGGCGGTACTTCCGGCTTCCCCAGGTCTTCTGTATTTACTTATGTGGGGCACGATGAGAAAGTCTGCGGCCCCAAATACGGAGTTCCTAGGGGCCAGACGGGCCGGGGTCGGCCTGGATGGGAGAGAGCCGAGCACCCCGAAGAGCCGTCACCGCCGCCGTCTCCCGGGGGACCGTTCTGCGCCTGCGTGAGTCTCACTACGCACGCGTAACATTAAGCACCTCCCTCCCCCCCCCCCCACTTTGTGTTTGTGCTTCCTTAGTACGCACGCGTATAAGGAAGCGACAGGAGGTTGAGGTGTCTATGTAAATGCCTGACAAAGAATTGGGACTGTTTTTGCCTCGGGAAAGACTACGAACAATTGTATTGGGCCCTAGAGTCTGGAAAATTATGATGTCCCTCAAGGTTAAACTTTTGGCAGGCGGTGAATTGAAGGCGGCACAGTCCTAGCCACCTAAAACTGGTCCTTACACTGCGCCCTAGAGTCTGAGCCTCCGGAAGTGGCCTTTTCCCGCGGGCAGTTGGGGGGTGGCTCGCGGGCTGCTGTATTGTGTGCGGTGGAGTCGTTGGACCCGAGCTCAGTTTGGCGGGGAAGGGCGTTTTGCAGGCGGTGGGCGTCATCTTGCTCTTTGGCGGAGCTCGGTCGAGGGCACACATCATGTTTTAGGAAAACTTAAGCATGCCACTGCCTTTCAGGACTTGGAAGTAAAAGGAGGAGCCGCCAAAAGTCTTCTGCAGATTGGGGAGCGCGGGGGTGGGGGGGGCGGGGGGGGATCGCGACTACCGACATTCTGCTCTTCTTCCCTATCTTAGTTTATATCCAGTATAAAGTTATTATTTACTGAACACATAGTGTGTGCCAATTAGCGTATTTTTTAAAGCCTTCACAATCTGAGATGCATTAACATCCCCTCTATAAGGTAAGTATAATTCGATGAACCTAAGAACTCAAGTCCTGACCTATCAGACTTAAGGTTTTAGGTCTCTAAGTTTTTGTTGCGTTTTAGGTTTTTTATTTGTTTTGCCGGTCCTGGGGCTTGGACTCAGGGCTTGTGCGCTGTCCTGACTCAGTCTGTGTTCAGGACTAGCGCTCTTGAGCCACAGCATCACTTTCGGCTTTTTCTTTTTTTTTTCCTTTGAGTCTGGTCGTGGGGCCTGAAATCTGGGCCTGGACGCTGTCCCTCAGCTCTTCAGCTCAAGGCTAGTGCTCTACCTCTTGAGACACAGCGCCGCTTCCTGCTTTTTTTTCTTTTTGCTTATGTGGTGCTGGGGAATCAAACCCAGGGCCTCATGCATGCAAGGCAATCACTCTTACCACTGAGCCACCTTCCCAGCCCCACTTTCGGCTTTTTCTGTGTAGGCTATTGGAGATAAGTCTCATGGACTTTACTGCGTGAGCTAGCTTCGAACTGCGATCCTCAGATCTTAGCCTCCTGAGTAGTTAGAACTACAGGCATGATAGGATTACTGGCATGAGCCACCAGCACCCCAGCCCCATAATGGTTGTAGCTCCGTGGCAGGGTACATGCTTAGGGTGCACAAGGCACTGGGTCCACACTCTACACCCCAAAAAAAAAAACAAAGATTACCCCCAAATAGTACAGAATAATCAACTCTTAAACCTATCATCTAGGGCTGGGAAAGTGGCTCAGTGATAGAGTGCTTGCCTTGCATGCATGAGGCCCTGGGTTCGATTTCTCAGCACCACATAAGCAAAAAGAAAAAAAGCCGGAAGTGGCGCTGTGGTTCAAGTGGTAGAGCACTAGCCTTGAGCTGCAGAGCTGAGAGACAGCGCCCAGGCCCAGAGTTCAGGCCCATGACTGGACCCCCCCCCAAAAAAAAAAAACCAACTATCATCTAGCCTTTTTTTTTTTGGTCAGTTGTGGGGCTTGAACTTGGCCTGGGCACTGTCACTCAGCTCTTCAGCTCAAGGTAAGCGCTCTACCACTTGAGCCACAGTGCCACTTCCAGTTTTCTGGTGGTTTACTGGAGATGAGAGTCTCACAGACTTTACTGCCTGGGCTGGATTTGAATCTCGATCCTCAGATCTCAGCTTCCTGAGTAGCTAGGATTACAGGTGTGAGCCACTGGCACCTGGCATGAGCAATGCTTTTATGGAAGAGTCCATAAGTTTAAGTCCCATCTTTCATTGCATTTATTGCTCCAGCCACTTGGCCCTATCCAGTGTCTGCCTCTTAGTGATTTGTGTATATGTGTGTGTGCCAGTACTGCAGCTTGAACTCAGGACCAGTGTTCCTTGAGCGTTTGTAGCTCTTCCACTTGAGCCACAGCTGTACTGCTTTCTGGTGTTAGTTAACTGGGGATAAGAGTCTCACCAACAAGCCAGGCGTCGGTGGCTCATGCCTATAATCCCAGCTGCTCAGGAGGCTGAGATCTGAGGATCACAGTTCAAAGCCAGCCCGGGCAGGAAAGTCCATGAGACTCTTATCTCCAATAAACCACTAGAAAACCAGAAGTGGCGCTGTGGCTCAAGCGGTAGAGCACTCACCTTGAGCTGGAGAGCGCAGGGACAGCGCCCAAGCCTAGAGTTCAAGCCCCATGACTGACCAAAAAAAAAAAAAAAGTCTCACCAACCTTCCTGCTAGACTGGCTTCAAACCACAATCCTCAAGCCTACCTTGAGCTGAAGAGTGCAGGGACAGCACCCAAGCCTAGAGTTCAAGCTCCTTGACCAAAAAAAAAGTCTCACCAACTTTCCTATCTAGATTGGCTTCATACCACAGTCCTCAGATCTCAGCCTCCTGAGTAGTTAGAATTACAGATATGAGCCACTGGCTCCCACTTTCTCTCTCTCTTTTTTTTTTTTTTTGGTCCTGTCGTGAGGCCTGGGCGCTGTCCCTCAGCTCTTCAGCTCAAGGCAAGCACTCTACCACTGAGCCACCTTCCCAGCCCCTCCCAGCTTCTCTTAATTCTTACTACCATCATTTAAAAGTTTATTAGCAGAAACTATAATAAGTGCTTTGCAACCAGTACTATTAATTACAATGATTATTTACTTTTAGACAACCATAAGCAGGTCTTTGCTAAGAACTTTACAAGCATTGTTTCATTTAATACTCTGCTGGTGTACCCATTTTGCAGATGACAAAATAAGACACAGATGAATACAATTGTCCCAAAGGGGCTCAGAGTGTGGATCAGTGGCAGTTAAGCCTAGCATGGCATGTTAGCCTAGCACCTCAAGAGTTCCAAGTTTAAAGTAGAATTAGGGTCTGAACCCTTCTTCCTGATACCCATGTGTATCCTTTTAACCACTAGATTGTGTAGCCTCTTTCTCATAATAAACATTGAATGGATGAATTCACTTATGTGTCATTGAGCTTTTCTAGGGTGTATACCTACCGGTCCCTCAATCATAAACTTCAGAGAGAAACCCACAATGTCCCGGTAACTGGTTTGTACATGTTTTAAAACACTGATCAGGGGCTGGGAAGGTGGCTCAGTGGTAGAGTGCTTGCCTTGCATGCATGAGGCCCTGGGTTCGATTCCCTAGCACTACATAAGCAAAAAGAAAAAAAGCTGGAAGTGGCGCTGTGGCTCAAGTGGTAGAGCGCTAGCCTTGAGCTGAAGAGCTGAAGGACAGCGCCCAGGCCCAGAGTTCAGGCCCCACGACGGACCCAAAAAAAAAAGCCACTGATCAGGTTGTATTGCGTGATTTGTTTGTACAGCTGGCTTTACCTATACCGACTTCTTCAAGGACAGGGACTGTGATTACTCAGTTTTATTTCCCCAGAGATTAGCTAGTTCCTGACAAACATTAGGGAATCAAAACAGTTTCTTAAGTGAATGAATGAAAGGCCCAATCCAGTCATCTCTCTTCAATGCTATGTAACCCAAAGAACTCCAGCTCAGATATGGGTTGAAAAACCACAAGCATCTACTCAACTCCCATAATTTCTAAGACTCTTGTCATGCCAATGTCTCAATAACGTAGGTAATCCAAGCGTGGGTGGGAAAACAAGGTTGAAGTTACTTATTAGCAGGTGAAAGGGTCAAAGGTCGAGGCAAGGGGCCCAAAAGCACACTGGACTGAGCAGTAGGCCTCTGAAAAGAGAGGAGTCCTTTAAAAGGCACCCCACACAGCACCAGGTCCCTCCTGCCTAAAGATGTTCCACCAAATTTGGGCAGCTGTGTTGTACCTTTATGGCCTTCTCTTTAACTCCATCTATCAGTGCCCCGAGCACAGTCAATTGACAACGCTGAGAGTGGATGAAAACAAGGTATGAACTGAGTGGGGGAAGTCTACCATGAAAGTTGAGGGTCTTGGGTGGGTAGCTATGATGAGCAAACTAAAAGAAAGACAGGTATCTCATGCCTGTAATCCTAGCTACCCAGGAAGCTGAGATCTGAAGATTGTGATTCAAAGACAGCCTAGTTAGAAAGTCCATGAGACTCTTTATCTGCAATTAATGACCAAAAAGCTGGAAGGGAAGCTGTAACTTAAATGAAATGATAGAGTGCTAGCCTTAGGCACAAAAAAGTTCAGGGGCAGTGTCAGGCCCTGAGTTCAAGTCCCAGGGCACACGCACGTGCGCGCGCGTGTGTGTGTGTGTGTGTGTGCATGTGTGTGCACGCACACACAACAACAACTGGGAAGTGAAAGAAGAAAGAGGGTGAGTGTTTTGAAAGCAAGAAAAGTGTCAGGGCTGTAGCCATCAATGTGGAGACATGGCAGGATTAGGGAGTAAAGGGTTACCCATATTGACTGGGGAGGACAAAGAGAAGTCATTTAATTACTTATTGTCATAGATTCAGCAGAAGGAAGTTGGAAAGAAAGAAGGCAGCGAACACCTCCACCCCAAGTGCTACTTGGTGAAGAGCTTGGATAGATCCCATATTGAATCAGTGGTAACCCACTATCTTTTGCTCTTCTGTCTCTTCAGTTCCCAGATCCTCACCTGGGCCAGTGGTACTTTATCGCAGGAGCAGCTCCCACCAAGGAAGAGTTGTCAACTTTTGACTCAGTGGACAATATCGTCTTCAACATGTCTGCCAGCACTGTCCCAATGCAGCTTCAGCTTCGTGCTGGCATCCGCACGTAAGTGGTGAGATAGAAGCACTGATGGGTACACTCTCAACCCAAAGTGTAAGCCCTCACCAGGATCTGGGCTCTTGACCATTATATCTACTACTTTTGGTTTACTGAATTCAATAGCTCTAGAGTTGCCCTCTGGTAGCTGTTCTGGAGGAACAGGATGGCATAGAGGCTGGTACTAAGTGGATGAAGTGACAGTCAGTCTTTCATCCTTGCCACCACAATCTGCAGGAAAAATGGGCACTGTGTACCCAGGCAATGGATCTACCACTTGACTGAGAGGAGCACAGATCTCAGAACTGAAGGTAGGTTGCCATTCTCCTCACTCTCTCCAGTCCTAATCCCTAAATTTGGTTTTGCATATCTGTACTCATGCTTACTCCCATTTCTCCTGTCAGGCCGCCCTGACATGAAGACTGAACTCTTCTCCAGCACATGCCCAGGTGGAATCATACTGAAAGAAACGGATCAGGGTTATCAGCGCTTTCTCCTGTACAGTGAGTAATGAAGTATCAGAGGAAGAAAACAAGAGGTCTCCTGACTTGGAGCCTAAGGGAGGATGCTACAGGCATCCAGAATGGGATGGGTGCTTCCATAAAGTTCCCTTTATGGGATAAAGGGTGCTGAGAAACAGGAGCTTGACTGGCCTGGCTGCACCTTGCTCTTCCAGATCGCTTGCCACACCCTCCAGAGAAGTGTGTGGAGGAATTTCAGTCCCTGACCTCCTGCTTGGATTTCAAAACCTTCTTAGTGACTCCTAGGAATCAAGGTGAGAGGTTAGAATCTCCCAGGTACAACCTGGGAATCACCAGGTTTTCTAAGGGTGCTAGATGAAGGAGACTCATGTGACCAGAGGGCATGGCCAAAGGCAGTGACCATGTTGACACATCCACTTTTCACAGGTAGTATGGCACCAAAGGATGTGGCTAAAATCTGTGCAGTTTCCTGAGGGACTCTGGGCTACTCAAAAGATAGTGAGGGGTTTTTTGAGTGTTGTTTTTAATAAATTTTGTTTATTTATTTATTTTTGTTGGCTGGGAGGCTTGAACTCAGGCCCTGTCCCTGAGTCTCTTTGTCTCTGAGTGTCTTCGTTCTCAATCCTAGCACTCTACCACTTGAACCACAGTGTCATTTCTTTCTTTTTTTTTTTTTTTTCGTCAGTCATGGGGCTTGAACTCTGGGGCTGGGTGCTGTCCCTGAGCTCTTCAGCTCAAGGTGAGGGCTGTACCACTTGTACCACAGCACCACTTCTGGTTTTTTTTGGTGGTACTTGGAGATAAGAGTCTCACAGACTGGGTGCCAGTGGCTCACACCTGTAATTCTAGCTACTCAGGAGGTGAGATCTGAGGATCACAGTGTAAAGCCAGCCGGGGGAAAAATGGAAGTAGCGCCCAGGCCCTGAGTTCAAGCCCCATGACCAAAAAAAAAAAAAAAGAGTCTCACAACTTTCTTGCCTGGGCTGATTTTTTTGAATCATGATCCTCAGATCTCAGTCTCCTGAGTGGCTAGGATTTCAGGCATGAGCCACCAGCCTAAGATAAACTTTGAGTCTGTAATGGATAAAAGGAAGCAGGGGGTCAGATATGGGTGGGAAAAGACATCCAAGATCCTTTCTATGACATTGAGAAATGAAAGAGTACATTCTTCTCACTCCATTACCACCAGCCTTGCTTCCATCCTTTCTACCCCCTTCTTTTCTCAGAGACCTGCAAACTGTCCAGTAGCTGATCTATAACTTCATCTATGCTCCCAGACAGACATGATGGGAGCTGAGTTGCTAGCAGGAGAAGCTGGAGTCTTATCAACTCCTTTTCAGGAAAAATAAAGATGACTTTTAGTCCTCATCTTGTTTGTTTTTTCCTGTGCTTTTTTAACCTGGCTTGAACTCAGGGCCTTGTGCTCTCACTTGTTTTTCGTGCTCATAGCTGAAGCTCTACTACTTAAGTCATGCCTCCAGTCCAGCATTTTGCTAGCTAAATGGAAGTAGAATCTCACAGACTTTTCTGCCTGGAGTGGCATTGAAAACATCTATCTTCAGCTTCCTGAATCACCAGGATTACAGGTTTGAGCCACCTGTGCTCAGCTTATTATGGTTTTGTCTCTTAGCTATCAATGTCACTCCCCATTCAGCATTGTCCCAACCTATCCCCACAACTGGACAGCATTAAGAAGGACACAGAATACAGTATTCTCACATTGTAGTGGTATATTTAGGAGTTAGTGTGACACAGTTATTGCTGAATGAGCAAACCACTAGCCTCTGAATGGGGACAACTAGCATTATCCTCACCCCATGCTGCTTGTCTGAAATGCCAGCTGAGCTGGCCCTCTGGCCTGTTACTTACCCATCCCCACTCCCTGTGGCCCTATTAGTACCAGATCCTCCATGCTAGCTCCCTGTCACCTTTGACCCCTTTCAGAAGTTTTGTGTGTGGGTGTGTGCCTGTAGGTGTGTTCTTGGCTTTTTCACTCAAGAAATTGTGCTCTTACTAATTGAGTTAGAGCTCCTTTCTGGCACTCTGGTGGTTAACTAGAAATAACAGTCTCAGGGACTTTCCTGCCTGGGCTGGCTTCAAACCCAAACTTTCGACCTCAGCCTCGTGAGTAGCTAGGATGAGCATGAACCACCAGTGCCCAGCCCCTTCCAAAATCCTTAATCCACCCACCTAGCAGCCCCACTTCCTAGATGGTCCTGGGCCCAGGATCCAGAGACATTTTATGACTCCCATTCACCCTCTCAGTGCAGAGATCTCTTCCCCATCTCTGGTCTCTGTTACCTCTGGAGAGTTTGGAAAGGTAAAAATAACCCTTTGGCTTTTATTCTCCACCATCACATTATTTATTTATTTACTTTTGACTGTTAAAAAGTGGATGTGGAAAAAACAAAAAAACTGGAGGTGGAAATAAAAACCATAGGTGGGAGATATGTAAAAGCAAAAAGTAGTGAGCTGGTGAATCTGAGGGCAATGCCCCAATGTCCATAAAAGGATACCCTAAACAGCTATGTCTCACGGTATGAAGGGGGGGCCGTGCCCTCATATTGTAGGGCTTCTGCCCCATCCCTGAGGTCCCTGTGCTTACAATCCGAGTCTCTCTACTCTTCCAAAGGCCACGCCATCTTCACCCTTTGCCCCCACCTCACCCCACACTTACAGCCCATTTCCTGAGCCTCCCCTCTGCTCCTCCGTTTCCCTTCCCAACTCCTTGTCCTCCCAATCAGTGACCTCCTCATCCCCATTGAGCTCTCGGAGGCTGACAGCCAGCACCAGAGCCTGCAGGAGGCCAAAGAGGCAGGCGAAGTGTAGGGGGTGGGCTGTAAGTAGGCTCAGCACAGCATGGAGCCCATGCAGGGCAGCCAGGAAGGTTAGTAGCCCATGTAACCAAAGGCCTACTGGTCCTCGAAGGCCTAGTGCATCCAAGGCTACCCGCAGTGGCCGAGAACACAGGGCCAACAGGGCTGAGGCCAGCAGCTCCAGCAGGTGTAGGGTCAGGTTGGTGGAGATCTGCAGACATTCCTCCAGGTCCCCCAGGTACCGTGGGGAAGCCCCTGGTTCTCCTCGCAGCCAGCCCATCAGTTTCTGGCGCCGACTAGGTTTCTCCACTCGCACTTCTGGCCCAGGGGAACCTGATCCCCCTTCATCGGACAACTCAGGTCTCCTGGAGCCGCCTGAATCCACAGCATCCCATCCCAGTTTTGGAATGGCTCCTCCAGTCTCTAGTCTCCCAGACTCTTGATTGCTCCAGATAGTCTTGTCTGACTTGAGGGACTCCATTCTTTTGTTTCCTAGTTGCTCAAGTTGGGGCTCAGTGCTTGGTTCTCGAGCAGCCCTGGAGCTCCTTAGTGGCCCCAACTCCTTTGTCTTGGGAGGTCCCACATCTCCCATAGTTTCTGGGGCACTGTCCCAATCACTCCCCGAATTCTCTGGGGAGCTGTCCACCCATCTGGGTTCTGGGGCAGGCAGGTCCGGCTTCCTTGGTTTCCGCCGGCCCCAAGGGCGAGGTAGCCAGCCACCAAGTCGCTGGAGGAACATGGCTGTAACGAGCCTCCCCCAAATCTGGGAGTGCTTCCTAGCACTGGTTAGACTGAGGGTCTTCTCAGAAGCCAGAATCTGTTCGGATTCAGAACAGGTATCTGCTTAGTGATGTCTTCCTATTTGAATTCAGAAGGAGCTCCCCACTTCCCTTAGGCAGCCTCCAGTGTAGCAAGTGGTCTGTCTCCTTTTCAGTTTGGGAGCAAAGAAGAAAAGGCATGCACAAATTCATTCACCTCACCACCCCCTCTCACAAGATTTTCAAGAGACTCAGAATCTGACAAGACTAGGTCACCCCTATTATTCTGTGTCCAGATTTCCTTCCCAGCAGGCAGCACCCCAAGTTTCACTCACCAAGACCACGCCCCAAGGTGCCCCAGAAACAGGGAAGGCGATTCTCCATCAGAAAAGGAAAGAAGGAAGGTGGCCAAGGGTCCTTCGGTCCTCTGGTCTCTGAGAAGTCTTAAACTGCTGCCCCAGGAGAATTCACGAAATAGGAAGTCTCCGTCGGGAGGTGGGATGGAAGTGTCCAGCAAACTCCAGCCAGAAGCGTGGGTCCCTTGACTTAGGAGGCTTTGAGTCCTACAAAATGACCGGTCCCCCGAGGGCGCAGCTGATACTGGCCTTTGCAAGGTCAGGACCGAGATGTCCTCAGAGGTCCTAGGCTCCCCGGGTGCGGGCCTACCTGGGGAGCCGGGCATCCGAGCGCGGAGCGCGGGGGCCGCTCCTGGGCCCAGCGTCGGGGCCGCAGCCTCGCGAAGCCCGGAAGCAGCTGCACCGGGACGGGAGGAACCGACGGGGGCGGAGCCCGCAGCTTGCAGGGCGGACCCTGCGGATCGACCTCCCCCCGTGTCCCCGCGTTCTTCTAACGCGGTACTGCGGGCGGCGGAGCGGCGTCTACCAGCACCAGCATCTGAAGGCCAACCCAGTCCTTCCCTTTCACCTCCCACCTTCTGTTCCCTCCAGCCTTCCGTTCTGCTCTGAATTCTCCCGCCCCCTGCCCCAGGGCTCTTCTGCACCTCCTCCACCACTCCTGTTTTTGCCCACGACTTCTTGAAAGGATGTTACTGAAAGGAAAATGATCAGGAAACCCTTGCCACTCTGAACAACTCTTCTCCACCCCTCCATGCAGGGATCTGTGAGCTCTTCATAAGCCTACCGCCTCGTGGGGAACTGCCAAGGGAGTGGGAGCGCCAGGCAGCAAAGTGTGGGAAAGAAAAAGACTAATAGGATGTGCTTCCTGCCCTCAGGAGCTTATAGCTAGTGCAATAAACTGACTTAGCAATGATTTGGGTCAGTGGTAGAGTGCTTGCCTAGAATTCACAACGCCTTATGTCCCATCCCTTTGACATAAACTTTTATTTGGAGGCCAGAGTTCTGGTCACAGCTGACAGAATACAAGGTGGGTAATTTTTTTTTTTTCCTTCTGTTGGTCTTGGGGCTTGCATTCAGGGCCTATGTGCTATCCCTCAGCTTTTTCACTCATGGCTAGAGCTCTACCACTTTGAACCACAGCACCCCTTTCTTTTCTGGGGGTTAATTTCTGGCTTTGAACTGCTATCCTCAGATCTCAGTCTCCTGCATAGCTAGGATTGCACATGTGAGCCACTGGTGCCTAGAATCTTGTGTGTGTGCTGGTATTGGGGCTTAGACTTGGGACCCGGGTGCTATGCCTGAGATTTTTTGCTCTAGTCTAGTGCTTTACTACTTGAGCCACAACTCCACTTCCGGCTTTCTGGTAGAGATAAATGTCTCAGATTTTCCTGCTCAGTCTGGTTTCAAGCTTTGATCCCTAGATCCTGAGTAGCTAGAATTACAGCATGAACCACAGGTGCCTGTCTATAAGGTGGATAATCTTAAACCTCCTATCTTGATTCTATCCAGCAAGACTACTTCCAGCCAGGTTCCCTTGGCTTACACCTGCAATCCTAGCTACTCAGGAGGCTGAGATCTGAATATGGTGGTTCAAAACCAGCCCAGGCAAAAGACTTTTTTTTTTTTTTTTTGGCTGTGGGGCCTGCACTCTAAGCCTGCACACTGTCTCTCAACTCTTCAGCTCAAGGCTCTACCACTTCAGCCACAGTGCCACTTCCAGCTTTTTCTGCTTATGTGGTGCTGAGGAATCAAACCCAGAGCCTCGTGCATGCGAAGCACTGTACCACTAAGCCACCTTCCCAGCCTTCCAGATACTATCTCCACTAAAATACACACACAAAAAAAAAAAGCTGGAAGTAGAGATGAGGCTCAATAGCTAGAGCTCTAGCTTTGAGCATAAAAGTTCAGGGACAAGTGCCCAGGCCAGGAGTTCAAGCCCCAGTACCAGCACAAAAAACAAAAAACAAAAAACCTCCACTTCCTGGGGGAAGGCCCTTCCTTGGCTTCCTCTATCCCTAATAAAGTTGTACATAGCTGTTTCCTCCTCCAGCTGTGAACTACTAAGGGTTGGGAATGTCTTATTTGTAAGCATTTAGTATATGAACTTATGTTTGGGACATCAGTGACTCAACTGGCTGGTCTGGTCAGGGGACCCTTTTGGGGGAAGGTGAAACTTGCATAGAGCTGGGCAAGTTCAGAGGTTTCAAATATGTGAGGTTTTCCTAATAGATGAGACCTGGCAGGGAGGTGACCTTACATCACTTAGACAGGTTCCCTCTTTTGATTCTGATGGGGCTTGTATGTGGCCCTCAGTTTTTTTTTTCTGTGCTGGTAGTGGGGCTTGAACTCATGGCCTGGGAGCCATCCCTGAACTCTTGCTCAAGGCTAGTGCCCTACCACGTTGAGACATATCCTGTTTTTTGAGTAGTTAATTGGAGATAAAAGTCACAGGGGACTTCTCTGCTTGGAGTGGCTTCGAACTGTGATGATCAGATCTCAGCCTCCTGAGTAGCCAGGATTATAAGTGCAAGCCACTGGCACCCAGCCAGGTCACAAACTCTGGCTTAACTTTTTCTGCTGAATGCTGGCCTCTACCACTTTTTTTAAATTTTTTTATTGTTATTATAAAGGTGATCTACAGAGGGGTTACAGTCTCATAAGTCAGGTAAAGAGGACATTTCTTTTTGCTTATGTGGTGCTGAGGAATCGAACTCAGGGCCTCAGGCATGCAAGGCAAGCGCTCTACCACTGAGCCACCCTCCCAGCCCGCCTCTACCACTTTTAACCACACCTCTGCTTCTGATTTTTTGCTAATTGGAAGGCTCTGGGATTTGTCTGCCTCCAGGGCCCTTAGCTCTCCACTTCCTAGGTAGGTAGGATCACAGATGTGAGCCACAGTGCCCAACAGTCCTCAGATATGTTTGACTACTCAAAGCATTTTTTCAGAAAGTAAATAAGCCACAAAAGGAGAAGGTTTTATTATTTCTCTACTCTCAGCCCCTCCACCAAAAGGTCAAAACCTGAAAGAGAGCTGGCACCTGTGCAGATCCCAGGCAGTCTAAGTCAAAGTGCCTAATCAGAGGTCCAAGTTCAGACTTCCAAACCCAGACTATGGTCAGACTTCAGCCAAGTCAGAAATCAAGGTTCATATATGTCCTTAGATTCCGCTCCCAGGCCCTGTCTTTCTCCTCCTGCTTTCTGTTCTCCCTCCTACTCAGTGTGGCCACTCGAGGGGCTCTCTCTTTTCCAGATACAGCCCGGGTATCTTTAGCAGGGAAGTGTGTGATTCGAGGCTGAAGTGCTGAACTGTAGCCTAATCCTTCTTGGTCCCTCTTGAGGATAGTGGGGATAGGGTTGGCACGGCCTTCACCCCGAGGTCCCAATCCCATTCCTGGCTCCCAGCCCCCCTTCAGCAACAACTTGAAACCAGGGCTGGAGCTGGGAACACCAAGGGGAAGTTTGGGAGCACAGGAACCCCTGGACAGCGACAGCAGATGAGCAGTGGATGAGCGGTGATTCAAGTCTTCAAAGTGGGCACCACAAGTCTCGCAGAACTGTGAGAAGGGTAAGGGAGACCTACAATAGAGAATGAATAAAATGGGTTACGGTCAGGGGATGGAAAAGGGAAAGAGTAGAGGCCTCAGAGGCTGGCAGAGTAGCAGTATTCTATTACCTTTTCTGTAAAGGAACAAATTGCCTTCTCCCCCACTCACCCTCACCTTTGTGTTTTTTTGTTTTTGCTTTGTGTGTGTAGTGCTGGAGATCTAACTAAAGTCCTTGTAAATACTGTGCAAGTGTTCCCTCACTGATCCATACCCACAGCCCCTCCCCACTTAGCCACAAGGGACTCTGAGTGGAACAGTTGGGATTTGCTAAAAAGGATTCATAAGCTTTGGTGGGCAAGAGATGAATAACAATGGCCATAGCAAGCATTTATATAGTATGTTATTTTGTGGCAAACACTGTTCTAATATTTTGCATGCTAATCCATGGCATCCTAAGCCCAACCCATGAGAAAAATGACTCCATGTAACTCTATGACTAGAGGATAAGGAGACCTCATCAGCTATTCTGGGACCTCTGATATGGGGTACAGGAAGGGCAGAACTGAAAATGGATATAGGCTAAGGTACCCTCTCACCGGTTCTCTGGGTTCCTTGTCTCTCCATGGCTCTCTCTGATCATACGGGCCACTTCAGGGAAGCCTGCTTCTTCAGCCAGCTGAGCAGCATCCCTGCCACCCAACTCACAGACCCCTACCCAGGCAGCCCCTCGGCCAAGGAGATAGCGCACAGCAGCCCCCTGGCCTGCTCGGGCAGCACACATCAGGGGAGTCCACCAAAAGGAGTCCCGAGCATTGATATTCTCTCCAGCTCCTCCTGCCTCCTGAGGCTCCAATAGCTTTCGAAGTTCTGCCACGTTCCCCTCCTGGGCCGCTTTCAGTATCCTCTGGGTCATCTTGTCCTCAGCTTCAATGGATCTCTCTTGTTCTTGTCTTCCTGATACTCCTGTGGCCCTGGCTTCTGCTGCAGCCTCCCTCATTGTTCGTCTTTTCTTCCTCTTTCTTTCTTGGGCAGGTTTAGGCAGAGATCTCTGGGGCTCACGGACACTGCTGTCATCTGCAATCAGGGCCTCATAGAAAGCCCGGGCTGCAGCCCCATCTAGAATGGGTTCTGGCTCTTCAGGCTGAGGCTGCTGGTGCTGCTGCCCATCCTTCCATAGATCACTGGGGTCTGTGGCTGGTGTAAATGTGATAAGGGATGGCCTGGACATGATAGCTTTGGGGAAAATTAAGAAAACAAAGATATGGCAAGGAAAGCCAACTTCTCCAGGGGTTTTTCCAGGTTGAAGAAGAGCAGCCTTAGAATAAAAAATACTGCCAGGTGCCAGTGGGTCACACCTGTAATCCTATCTACTAAGGAGGCTGAGAACTGAGGATAATGATTCAAAGCCAGCTTGAGCAGGAAAGTCCATGAGACTCTTATCTCCAATAAACCACTCAGAAAACCAGAAATGGCACTGTGGCTCAAGTGGTAGAGTGCTAGCCTTGAGCTGAAGAGCTGAGGGACAGCACCCAGGCCCAGAGTTCAAGCCCCATGACCGACAAAACAAAACAAAAAAAACTCTCGATTCTATTTCAGGGTCTCTTCTTCCCCCAAAATAACAAGTAAGTTATTATTACGCCTGAAGATTTCAGGGAAAAATCTTCTGTCTCCAATGCTTTGCAGCTGCCATAGGACAAAACAGGACAATCCTAGAGTAGACACAAATTGTCACAGGACACGAAGATGCAAGCGTGGCAACCACAAAACAAAAACACAAGGGTTGTTTCCCAGCCCTGGAACCTCCCAAGCAGACGCGCAAAGCATCACGTGCTCAGCTAGCTCGAGGACCTAGGGGCATCTGT